CAGAAGTTTTTAGCCAAAACACAAGTTTCTGCTCTTAGCCATTCACTGTACTCTAAAGCTGGTCCTTCTGTTTTTTTTTATTTACCCGGAACTAAATGATTCATTGAAATTGTGTCTCTTTGACCCAAGGTGCGATGCAGCAGATACCTCTACACCCTGGTCATCCAGGACCGAGAGAAGGCAGAGAAGCTGAGACAGTCATTGCCACCAGGTCTGGCAGTCAAAGAGCTTCAGTGAAATTTTTAAAAGAAGAAATTAAAAAAAAAAAATTGATGACATCCAAATAGCTAAACAGGGCTATATAGTTTCCACAACATGAAAGTTGAACTGAGTCAGGAACTGACATCACAGCACTCTGGGCATTTCCATGCATGCTCTGTCCTCCTCTTCAGCAACCAGCGCAGAGTTCCAATACTGATGGTGCCGGTCACAATCTGGTTGTATGTCCGTCTTGCCTTTCCTCTGAGTGTAGTGAGCCCAGGTGCCTCATTCTCTCCAGGCTATAATAATCTTCTTTCTCTACTGATTCCGTTACTTGTTCCCAAAGGGCCTTGACCACATCTGCCTTGTCAGGTATCAATTCACCGCCCATTGGTGCAGATTCAGACAAACTGTCTGCCTGTTTATTACCCACCACGCTGGCAGGGCCTTGAGAAAATATCCAGTCCTTAACATGAGAAGCCTTGTTGAGGTAATCCCATAATTTAGTAGATTCTCCTTAGTGGCTGGGCTGTTCAACTAAGGTTAGAAAAAGGCCAAAATGGGGAACGGCGCGGACCAGAAGCCCGAGCTCCAGCATAGAAAGACCATTAACACAATACAACTGGCGGGTGATCCGCGGGCCACTTGCTAGGTTTTTGCGGGCCACAATTGACCCGCGGGTCGCTAGTTGAATATCCCTGCATTAGATGTTAGATACACTTTTTGTATAAAATATAAAGGGAAATAACTATGAATTAGTGCGTGCGATAATTCAGCGGTTCTCAGACTAGATGACGGGGCACCCAGGGGTGCCGCTAGCATATGCGAGGGGTGCTGCTAGCATATTCCAGGGGTGCCGCTAGCATATACCAGGAGTGCCGCTAGCATATGCCAGGCTTGTCGCGTCAAAAATCGAGAATATTTCCAAATCTGCTTGAGATCAGCAAAGACAGCAGTTTCAAACAGAAATACTGTGAAGAAAGCAAGAAGAATTCTGGGCGCAGGTGTATTCAGAAAACACTGTTATTGGCAAGGCTACAGTGTATTCACATCTTACGCTTACATTAAAAAAGGACCGATACAGGAGCAACCTTCAAGTGATCTGAGGGTACAATTAACGAAATTTCATATAAACATACAGGAAATTATGAAAAATGCATTCACACAGTTTCATTCATCACATTAAAGACAACTAAACATGATTAAATATGTACTGTTTTATGCCTCTTTTCCTAAGTATTTAATTCGCTTTAAGGGTAGGTGTTCCGCGAAAAAAAAATCGCCAGACAAAAGTTCCCCTGCGAAAAAAGTTTGAGAAACGCTGCGATAATTCACTCTTCTGTTGTTGTTTTTTGTAAATACACCATTCAAACATAGTAACGCATAGCTACTAAAAGTAGCACACGTAGTTATAATTCACATTCAATGTAATGAGTGAAATTGTTCAATAAATTGTAAACATGAATATTTTAGAGTTTAAAATCAAACAGTTGACAGTTCTTTTGCACCGGGGTCGCTGAAAATAGCGGCGCGATAGATATGGCCTAGCCATAGATATGGCCTAACGGCTGAAAGGGGTTTCTGGGACCTTTCCAAGGGTGATCCTCATCCGCAGGGTGGCACTTTGTATCACCGGGTGTATATCGCTTGTGTGATGCTCTGGTGGGGTACAACTACCTACCTACATATATGCGTTCTCGCCAGTATGTTGTGGCTTTCTCTGACATCGATCAGCTCCTGGTCATGGATGCGATCTGGCGTTTGATGTTGGCCTGTGGGATGGCTGTCGATTCTTCCTGACATAGCGGGAACATATCACGACGTTTAGCTGGAGCACGAGACCGCCTTCAGCTGACGGACCGTGCTGCTGACGTCACCGGGTCGGGCTAACGATGCGTTGCCGCAGCGGTTCTGAAAAAAGAAATAAACTATTTTAAACAGTGGCGAGCGAAGACAATATACATTTTAACTTGTAAGTATCTACAGGCCTTCGAAAATTTAATATTGTCTGTCCAAAAGCACAGTGAAGATCAAAATCTGTTCTTGAATTTAAAGAAAACGAAAATAATGTCCACAGATAAAATTGGCTGTCACCCAAAAATAACAATAAATGATGAAGAAATTGAAAATGTCACAAACTTTGAATATCTAGGCTCTATAATAAACAGCAATGGAGACTGTTCGACAGAAATTAAAAGGAGGATGACCTTGGCAATGCAAAAATTGAACAGCCTTAAAAGTCTATGGTTAAGCACCAGCAAGAAGATAAAAATTAGAATTTTGAGAGCATGCATCTTCCATGTGGCTACATACGGATGTGAGTCGTGGACTATCTCTCAGTCCTTAAGAAAGAGAATAGGGGCTTTTGAGCTGGAATTCTATAGAAAGATTCTCAGAATATCTTGGACAAAAGAGAGGAGAAATATTGACATCTTAAAAGATCTGAACATCAAGGAAGATTGGCTAATAAACAGCATCCTGTCTCGGAAGCTGAAATATTTTGGTCATATCAAGCGCCACGACGGATTGGAAAAAACTATAGCAGAAGACATGGTACCAGGAAGGAGGGGCAGGGGCCGACCGACACGAAGATGGGCACAGGATATAAGTGACTCCTTGAGTATGAAAGTATATGAGGCAGGAGAACTGACGTGAGACCGAGTTTCTTTCAGGCAGACTGTGATGAGAGCGACGTTCTGCAAAGGACCTGCTACTTGATGATGACATGCCTTCTTTAATAACGTCACAATTTTAAGCTGACTTTTCTTGAATTTTTGCCGCGGCACCCCAGGCATACGCTCACGGAACCCCTGGCATACGCTCACGGCACCCCTGGCATACGCTCACGGCACCCCTGGCATACGCTCACGGCACCCCTGGCATACGCTCACGGCACCCCTGGAATACTCTCACGGCACCCCTGGCATACGCTCACGGCACCCCTGGCATACGCTCACGGCACCCCTGGAATACGCTCACGGCCCCCCTGGAATACGCTCACGGCACCCCTGGCATTCGCTCACGGCACCCCTGGCATACGCTCACGGCACCCCTGGCATACGCTCACGGCACCCCTGGCATACGCTCACGGCACCCCTGGAATACGCTCACGGCACCCCTGGAATACGCTCACGGCACCCCTGGAATACGCTCACGGCACCCCTGGAATACGCTCACGGCACCCCTGGAATACGCTCACGGCACCCCTGGCATTCGCTCACGGCACCCCTGGCATACGCTCATGGCACCCCTGGCATACGCTCACGGCACCCCTGGCATACGCTCACGGCACCCCTGGCATACGCTCACGGCACCCCTGGCATACGCTCACGGCACTCCAGGGTGCCTCAGCATTGAGTTTGAGAACCGCTGCATCGTTAGCCCGACCCGGTGACGTCAGTAGCACGGCCCGTCAGCTGGAGTTGTTGTGGCTGGAGCATCGTCTCAGAGACAATCGCGTCTATGCAGCTCATCCCACAGGTGCTCAGTTCGGACTCATGCCTGCATACAGGGCTGGCCAGGACATGGTGTCAAAGAATTTCATTGACGTATCATTGCAGTTCAGTAAATAGTCAGTTGCGTATCCGTTACAGGACGTTGCAGAACCAATTCCAGCATTGGCTATTGTGTTTTTTTTAGGCACACTTACGTACACTAGTTATCCATTGCTTTCTGGACGATCGGCTTCTCTATACCACTGTCGAAACAAACGCAAGGCGCAACGCCCGCAGCTGGGATCGAACTCAGCACCCTGGCATTATGAAGCGCCTGCGCAACGCCTAAGCCACAGCCTACATCTCAGTATATGGAGAACGAAAATTTCAGACTTGCTCCTCGCTCGAATGGCTAATTGCTTTTTTTTTTTTTTTTTAAGGAAGTTTAATTTGCTGATTTGTTTGAATTCTGTTTGTTTGGTTCGTGCAATCACGCCTGAGTTTTCGTTTCTTTACTACTTCCTGCCTGTTGTGGTCTGGGTCTGTGATGGTGCCTCTGCTTGCTTTCTTTGTGCCAACTCCTCAAAAGGACTGTTTCTGGTCTGCGGTGTCTTTAATTTGTTCTGTCCATGTCTACCTGGTCTGTGGTTTTTGGGTTTTCGGTTCGTGGCAAATCGTTGCATTTCTCTGGGGCATCAATTTGTTGAGTCTAGTTGTCGCGTGTTTCTTGACTCAGATTCCACCAACTGGCTGGACTTTGGCATGTTCTTGAGAAGGCTCAGAAGGCATCACCTCTTCACCTTGGTTTATTCTCACTGAGAACTGCATTAGGTTTTCTCATATTTATGTGCTTTGGTCTGTTATTTTTATGGATTCTGTCCACTACATCTTGAGTTTATCGATTATCGATTATGTCACTGTATTTGTGTCTGCCCAGCTAATACACGATTTCTCTGTGGGTTTGCTGTTTTTGTTTCTTTCTTGTAATTCTACTTCCTTCTCTGATTCTGTTTTTGTTGCCTTAACTTTTACTTTCGCTTGTGCTAGTGAGGCGACCATGGTCGAGCATTGGCTCGCTAGTAGAAGACTTCGTCGCAGTCGGAACAGTATTTGGGCCTGTCTCTGGAGATCGCATCAGCACTGCAAAGTCTTTATCAGGACTATTTAGTGGCGGGCAGTGTGAAGCCCTAATATGTGGCGCAAACAAACACAGTCGCAATTATAGCCTAAAGCTCCCCATTCAGGGATACTAATTGAAAAGGACTTTTTTTTTCAGTATCACTTAGCCACCTATGCCTGATTCGTGTTAGTATAAAACGTTTGACGAGTTGCTAAAAATAAAATTAATGACTTTATTGCTTTCAGGTTGAGGAAATGTCTGCAGGCCTCATCATCTCCTTTGGCACATCTGATTGGTCAGATTTACTTCAACGTGATTGGTCCAGAGTGCTTTAAGTTCACACAGCGAGCCACATGTGGCCAACGGCTGTGGTGGGGTGGATGTCAGGAGTGGGTGACCAGTGAGGTTGCTTACTCGAAGAGACAGCGCCGATTTAAATAAATGATTGACAGTTAATGTGAGAAGAGATATTCATGAAGATGTCCCATATGTTAACATATGGGGGGAAGACGGTGTAAAATGAATATGTTTAGTACATTGACATGTAGGGGCAACGGGTGTGGTTTTATGTTTTATAAATTAAGGTGTAGTCGAAATACAACGAAATAAGGTGCTCTGTACGTTAACATGTAGGCAGGGGAATATGTGATAAAGTTGACATGTATGCGGAGGGAGATGTATTCTATGCAGTGACATGTAGATAGAGGAAGATTAGAAGGGGGAGAGAGAGGGGGGTATTATATGTACTGACATGTAGGTAGAGGGAGATGTGCTCTATATTCAGATGTAGATAGAAGGAGATGAGATGTTCTATCCATTCACAGGTAGACAGAGGGAAATTTGTTGTATGTATTGACAGGTAGGTAGAGGTAGATGTGAAGATGTTCTGTACACTGGCAGGTAGAGGTAGACTGAAGGTGTTCTATGCATTGAAACCCTCATTAACTAGCTGACACGACAACTGGAACTGTCACTGAGCTACCGGCACCTCAACACTTTAGTACGATACCCTCTATTTTGCCATCGTTTTTCATTTTGACTCTGTATAAAATAAATCATAATACCAAATGCACAGAAGACCCTGATAACCCCTGCCTTGTATATATTGCCCATAATACTACCGTGAAAACATAACCACATCTCATCGTATAAAAATCGACAATACAATAGACCCTTAGGAGGCAAGATCGTCCCTCCCCACTCCCATAGCACTTGATGATGATGATGATGGTGTTTGATCAAATACCACGCCCCCTTTCTGAGCCCGATCTGATACCTGCCCTGTAATCATGTTTACATATTGTACTATATAACATATGTTTTCTATTTCCCCTGCACCATGTCAGTCAATACCCTCTCCTCCTTTGTTCTACTTATATAAGTCTAGCGTCCTGCCACCCTATTTTATCATTTTTGCATATTTCTATTGTATAACATATAATTTATAACCCTCTCCGCAAAGCCAATCAGTATCCATTTTCTATATTCTACTATATAACCCCTACAACGGCCTCATACTGCCCGCCCTGCTCACTGACGCTCCTGAACCCTCTGACCTGCCTGCCCCATCACGAGGCCCCATAAGAGCCTTATTCGAGCCGCCAGGTGACCTCATACGATCCGAGCCGCCAGGTGACCCCATACCATCCGAGCCTCCATTTGACCTGCAGGTGACACATGAACGAGCATCATACGAACGCCAGGTAACCTAGATATAAAAAATGTCAAAATTGCCAAATTGAAAGGGGCTGCACATCTAGCTCAGAGGTGCAAATCTTTTTTTTTTTTTTTTAATATAAAGAAATAGAGCCATGAAGTTTTTTCCTCTTTAGATCACATGAGCCACGATTAGCAAAGGTTATATAGAGAAAACTGCCCCCCCCCCCCCCCCCAAAAAAATATATACGTTGCTCATTTATTGTGTCAAGGAGAGAGAGAGAGAGAGAGAGAGAGAGAGAGAGAGAGAGAGAGAGAGAGAGAGAGAGAGAGAGAGAGAGAGAGACCACACAGAATGTCCGTCACTGTCTCTTGTGAGTAAAATAGAAGTTTCAACTCTGTTTTAAATCGTGTGGGTGTGTGTACTTGTATGCGTGCGTGTGTACTTGCACGCGTGCGTGTGTATGTGTGTATGTAAACACCATCATAATAAATAATTTATACGCTCTGGATGGGTAAGAAGCATTAGAAAGTCGCAGTTAATCTCAATCACCTGGATCTACACACCTGGACATAGGAGGCTGAAAGGTAATGAACGAGCCAACTTGCTGATCGGTCTCTGAATCTGTGACGCTAAAGCAGTTGTGTAACCTGAGACTAAAAGCTTAGTGATGCATATCTAGGTCGCCTTCAGTGCCGGGACACTGTTACCACTTCTCATTGGAACAATTGCGAGAGGTACCTTGGTGTAGCTGCTGCATTGCAGGACTGAGCACGTATCCTTATCATCATCATCATCATCCCGTAACATGACGTGTCGTTGGGTAACCAGTTTCTGCAGACTGTCTGATCAACTCTCTCCACCTTTAACGGTCAGTTCTTAGTTGCATGCCAGAGGCATGTCCAGTCATTCAGGTTCTGTAACCAGGTATTTCATGTTTTGCCTCTTCTCATCTTCCCCTCTATTGAGCCTTGCAGTATTGTTTTTGAAAAGCCGTTAGATCTTATTACATGTCCATACCATTGCATTTTCCCACTTTTCACTGTTTGTAATGTGGTCTCTGTATGATATGCCAAGAATTTTTTTTCCGAAAGATCGCATTTCAAAGGCTTGTATCTTTCTTTCAAGTTCAGCACGCATGCGAGTGCTTACTGTGCATTGACCTCGATTTTGGCAAAATAACAGAATATTATTATTGGTAGACTAATCATTTGTGCGCGGCGTCCGTGGCTTAGGCGTTGCGAGTCCGACTCGTAATCCAACGCACCGCGATCGAAACCCACTGCTGGCTGCGCGGATTTTCATCGTGGTATGGGGCGTCGCAACTAGACCCAGCATAAAATGGGTACCAGGATGGCTGTCCTGGGGAGGAAAAGACGGCCGGCATAATGCTGACCACATTACGCTCATCTCATCGTATATCTTTTTTACTTTTTAAAAATTTGTGCCTGTATTGTCTATGTCGATGTGATTTACAAAAAGGTGACAAAGCATAAAATGGAATTTAGGTGACAGTCATCAGTTATTAAATACAATCAGGCAATTTTCAACACATTTTCTCCTGTCACTGTGAAGATTTCTACTGCATAGATTTAAAACAATGCTATGTTTAAAAACTCTGAAAATAGACATCATCCATTCACACAAAAAGTGACCTGTTTCATATGCCCCCATCATCCATTTACAGTAAAAGTGAATTGTTTCCTGTGTCGCATCATCCAGTTTTAATAAAAGTGACTTGTTTCATGTGTCGCATCATCCAGTTTCAATAAAAGTGACTTGTTTTATGTGTCGCGTCATCCAGTTTCAATAAAAGTGACTTGTTTCGTGTGTCGCATTGTTCAGTTACAATAAAAGTGACTTTTTTTCATGTGTCGAACATGAAAGAAAACTTACCACCGGTGAGATGAGGTGTCGGAGAATGGCTCTGATTAAAACCAGAAGAGATCGAGTGAGAAACGACGTGATCACCAGAACTGTTGGAACAACACTCATTGTGAAATTTATTGAGAAACAAAGAACGAAATAGTTTGGCCATCTAACGAGAATGAAACCAACGATGTCAGCAGCAAGAGCGTACAACCTGAAAATCGGAACATCAAGAGGCAGGGGAAGACCGAAAAGAATATGGATTGAAAGAGTCAATGACACCTTGAGACTGCATAACATCACGGCATATGAAGCGACTGACTGCGGCCTGGCTCGGCTGCCGATCAGGGCTGCCAATGGGATTTTTGTGAAAAACCCAGCTAAGCTGAACAAAAACCCAAGCAAAACAAAAACCCAGATTGGTAAAAAGTACTGACTTTATAGTTACGAAACGAAACATTTACTCACCTTTAATATAATTTTAGAAAACCCTAGGCGTCAAATAAAACCCAGATCTGGGGGTAAAAACGCAGCATTGGCAGCCCTGCTGCCGATTGTCTCATGAAATCCGACGCCTAGCCTCTAGATGTCGGCTCTGTGGCTAATGCCGTGGTACCGGGTTCGATCCCAGCTGCGGGCCATGCGCCTTGCGTTGGTTTCGACAGTGGTATCAGGGGGCCGACTGTCCATAAATCAATTGCAAACTACTGGACGTAAATTTGCCTAGAGAAACCACACACCAGCTGGGGTTGGTTCTGCAACGTCCTGTAAAGGATACGCAACTAACCTTAAGCCTCTAGCTAGAAAGAAAGTAGAATAACTCGTGCATGTCTTCTCTTTGACAGTATGGTATACAAAAAAGCTCACATTGCATAAATTGGAAAAAAGGAGACAATCATAAGATACAAAATACAGGCAGGCAATTTTCTAAGACATTTTCTCCTTTTGTTGTAAAGATTTTTACTACAAGGATTTCAATGAGAAAAAAAAAATGTGCAGCAGAACGCTCTAACCGATTGCGCCACAGAGACCATGCTCTGAATTTGTATTTTTTTTCAATAAATGAGTGAAAGTGAGTGGAAGGAAGGTTATATTTGGAAAGGCTGGCATTTGCAGACGGTGTCGCCCTGGTAGCTAAATCAGGAGCACACTTTCAATCCAACTTACTTGTCTGAAAGGAGGAGCTTGATAAGATAAGGATGACCATCAGTATCTGCAAAACTAAAACCATGGTGATCTCAAGAGAGGAGAAGAAACACCAGATCATGATGGGACAGTATGCATTGGAGCAGGTCAGTCAGTTCAAATACCTTGGATCTGTAATAGGCCGAACCGGAGACGTTAGTACAGAGCTGGCTACAAGAGAAGCAGCTGCTGGGAGACATTTCCAAACCATAAACTGATGGTTTCTTAGCAAAAGAGAAACTGGCAACTGGACAAAAATGGCTATTTACCGCTGTACCTATGTGCCAGTCCTGACCTACGGGTGTGAGTCATGGGCAATGACAACAGCTCTTTAACCCTTTCGCTGCTATGGACGTCTTTTCCCGATTTCCCGTACGCTGCTACGCCCGTCTTTGGACGTTATTTTTTTTCTTGACCCCCAGTGCTATGGACGTCCTAAGCCGTTTTTGGACTTTTCCTACAGATTTCTGTTACCTCGTATTTTATTGGCTGAAGGGCAATATACATTAGCTATATTTAGATTAAACTGACCCATTTACATATGATTAAAAGCACTGGCACGTACTTTTAGGTGTGTTTAAGGCGTATTTACTGCATTTTGCGTTATCCCGTTGCTTTGTTTACCGTGACAGCGTGGTCGGTGATCTGTGTATTTTGTGCCCTGATATATATTTGTGCTTTTGTATTATTCTACACTTAGTACAAAATGGCAAGAAAACTTGTTAAAGTTGATGAAAAATTTATGGAGTTTCTGTCAAGAAGTGATAGCGAAGATGACTTTGAAATGTTTACTTCTGACAGTGAACAAAAAGATTTGACTAGGCCATCAATATCGACTGCTGAAACCGTCGTGTCCAAAAAAAGCTGTTTGCCTGTCTGACGTCCTCATTGTCGGAATCAGAGAGCAGCGACAATGAAGCACTATCAAAACGGCAATAAATTGACCAGTTGTCTTTATGAACCGTTGATTTGAAACCAGTAGTGCATAATTTTGATGACTCCAGCTCTAACTGTATTTCTGCTACTGAAAATTCAAACAGTTCAGTCACTAAAAATTCTCGTCTTTCCCGATGGACAGACACAGATTCGGACGAACTTTTTTTTTTTTTTTTGCTGTCTGTCTGCTAATGCTTAGAACAAAGAAACTCAAAATAGAGTACTTGAGCAAAGACTGTTTGCTAAAAACTCCCGTGAAATAATGTCGACAGACATATTTTTACTATTGTTGAGAATCTCAAACATTTCTCAGACAACAGTGCTCATGCAGGCGGCGATAGACTACAAGCTTAGGCACGTTATTGATAGTCTGCGTACATCAGTCATTATTATCATTCACACATCAAAATAGGTCAAGCGGTAGTATAGTGTAGTTGGTATCACGTTCGCCTTAGAATCAGAGGGTCGTGTGTTCAACCCCCGAAGTCGTGTTTTTATTTTTTTTTTAATTATTGTAAATTTTCCTTTCAGTTCCTGCTACTTTTTATCAACGGACGACTCAAGTATTATTATTAAATTTTTATTATTATTTTGGTATTTAATAACATGGTGACTACAAATAACTATGATTAAAGTGGCAGCCGTGGTAGGTTCGTCAATCAAATTTTGGGATACGGACAGGGAACAGTTCTTATCATTAATCCCCCCCCCCCCACCCCGAGAAGGATGATAGCTCCGTTAGTCAAGTTTGTGGGCCACCATCCTGCCTCTGACTTGTCACCACTCGGACCAAACACACAACTCCCCAGGGTAAATTTTTTTGGGTGTACAAAATATAGCCCTCACCGCCGACGCATCTCTTGCGTTTGGAGGATAGAAAAGTATTGCGCACAGCAGAGACTTTTTTTTTTCACATTGCTTAGCACAGGGAGGACAACTATTTCCGGGAACGTAGCAGCGAAAGGGTTAAAACAGGCTTTAGGCCTCAGAAACGAGAGATATATATCTGAGAAAGGTGGTCCAAGTGACAAGAAGGGATAAAGTCCGCAATCAGACAATACGTCAAGATCTTGAAAACCCAGGTCTTACAAATTCGAGTGGATCAGTCACATTCACGAAGGTTTGCACATGTATGTCACCACGGCAGGCACGAGAGGCTAAGAACCAGGAAACCAGATCTCCATGGCGACCCAGGGTCCGATGGGAAGACAACACACGACAGTCCCTGACTGATAGAGGACTGGAATTGAACAAAAACCAGAAAGAAAACTGCTGAAAAGTCTGGCGATCTCTCTAGCATAGCTCTGCATCCCAAGGTATAAGGGGATAGATTAAGTAAGAAAGTAATAAAGAGCTTACGCTTAATATTGGGTGCGCCCCAATCTAGGAGGGAAAGGGGGTGGGGGGTTTCAAGGGACCCGAACCCTAGGTTCAGGCACCTATATGTAGTAGGTAGGGCAGAGTTTTACGGCTAGGTTGTCGCTATTTCCGCTTTTTTGGTCTAATACATCGATTTCCGAAAAACCGTAAATAGTCACTTTTTTCCACATGTTTCTTATGGGGACAGCGAGTCCAACCCCCTCTCCCCCCCCCCTTTTTTTTTTAAACTGTGGCTAAGCCTAGCTACAAAATGGCTACAGTTGGCAACCTGAGTTTACTTCCGCAAAAGTTGCCCTTTAACCCGGTAAGTTTAACGACGTCTGCTCCAAGAATCCGAAGTTCCTGAGAACAACTGGGAGAAGAAAAGCATTTGTTGGATATGTAGGTATCCACAAACAATATATTTTATTCGAGCTCACATTGGTTAAACAAAATGTTAGTTAAATATTCTTTTACATGTCGTAGCAAACTAACCACACGATTTATTGGTGTTTATGTGGTTTTTCTGTTCTTGATGTGTTTGATTCTCATTCATACTAGCTCTCCTTTGCCGAGAGTGACTATCTTGCTGACACTGCGGTTGCTATGGCTGGTCAGGTCCTTCTGTATATAAATAGAGAAGGCCGTGGGCTGGCCCAGTACTGGACAGAAGTGATGTTATCAATGCCATGCGCTGTACTTACCGCACCGAGGAGCACGCCAAGGGACAAGACTATATATTCCTGTCTAGACTGATGGGCATGGGGGTGCAGCCTGGAGCTGCAATAAATATATATATATGTGTGTATATATAAGATTACGAGAAATGACAATAATTCAGGAGTCATCTCCTCACTGAAGGTTGACTGTATTGCAGAGTCTGAAAAAAAAAGAACTTCAGTTGTGAAAAAAATATCTAAAGCTAGGAGGGGCAAATGGATCACCACAATCTGGTGAAAGTCATGCAACGGGGAGCGATGAGGGAATCTGGCTGATGCTCGATGTTCAGAGGAAAGGCAAGATGGACGTATAATCAGAATGCAACTGGCACCATTGGGACCTCTGCGCTGGCTGCTGAAGATGGGGACGGAGTGCTTATGGGAATGCACTGAGTGCTGTGATGTCGGTTCTTGAATCAGCTTACCTCAGTTCAACAAGGCAGAGACGGACATGCAGTGGATTCCTTCTCACTGCGGCACCAAAGGCGATGTTGTACCGATGCGTTAGCAGTGCCAGACGACAACTTGAGCGTCTTTGTTGGGTGACTGTTTAACATAAAACATCATGACACGAAGAAAGATTCTAGGTTTTATAGCATTTCATGGGACAGATGTATTTTTTGGAGTCATGAAAGTTTTAGGGTTTAAAAGATCACCTCCTTCTCACTGGGGTTTGTTGCATATCGCTTGAACTGTCAGGTCAGATGCCTTGTCGTGACTGTTGTACAGTACACAAACTCTGCAGCTTCAGAAACTCTCACCTTCAGTCTCTTTGTCTCTCTCTCTCTCTCTCTCTCTCTCTCTCTCTCTCTCTCTCTCTCTCTCTCTCTCTCTCTCTCTCTCTCTGTCTCTCTCTCTCTCACACACACACATGCACGCTTGCACCCACAAACCATGGATTCGTTAGCCTAGGCCAGAAAATGGATCAAGAATAAGGCTGACCATTGTACTTGTTCAGTCTTTGGTGAATTACCTATATAAACTGCAGTACATTTTTATTTAATGTGTTGATTTCCATTGATCCATTTCCAAAATTGATTTCCAGTTGTTCATGTTCATTCCTTGTTATTGGCTTCGACCTGAACATGACTGGAAGACAGACAGTGCTATAATCCAGTCGTACAGAACACCTCGATTGCTATCTTGCAATAGGGATGCAATATTTCCATTCAGTTCCTGCACAAACCTCATACAGTGAGTTCAACATCTATTACGTTCTTGGTAAATTACATAGCACTGTTTTTTCTTTCATAATAAATTTAATTGTGTTTGCACTCTTTTGTCATTTGGCAACCGGTAATAGAAATGATATTGCCCAGATTTTCTTTTATATAAGATGGGTGGGAAACAAAACCAGAAAAAGTGGGGGGAGGGGGGTGTCTATCAATGATGTGAGTAATTCTGCATTATTTTGTCATTTGGCTCTCAATGATGGGATTTAGTAGCACAGTGATTTCAGTCACAGGCATTCAAGCTGTTGTGGTGTCTATAAGGAGATACTCTGTACCTAACCTTAGGCATCAGCATTATCATCAGTTTCCAGTCTACACATGGTTGCCCTGAATGGGTTCTTCAAAAGGCAACACCTGTAGGTAAGGTGACAAAGAGGACATCACACAAATAAGGCTACAGCATGTCCCACCTAACAAACCAGAAATGCTAACCCGGTAAATAAATACCTGATGCAGTCAGATGTATCTGCCGAATGGTGCAAATATCGCAACTATGTGTATCTGCCAAAAGGTGCAAACATCGCAACTATGTGTATCGACTGAAAAGTGCAAATATCGCAACTATGTGTAATGGCCAAAAGTTGCAAATGATGCAACTATGTGTATCGACCAAAAGGTGCAAATATTGTAACTATGTGTATTGCCCGAAAGGTGCAAATATCACAACTATGTGTATTGGTCAAAAGGTGCAAATATCACAACTATGTGTATCAGTCGAAAGGTGCAAATATCACAAATATGTGTATTAGTCAAAAGGTGCAAACATCACAACCATGCTGTAAACAGGCAGAGTACAGTTACATCACTTGGATGAATGACGAAGACGAAGAAGAATGGGAATTATAAAGGACCCTCTTTCAGGCCTTCAAGGATATAGTGCTAGACCCATATTTTATTGATTGGTGATGTGGTCACACCCGCCTTTACTTCCCAAGACTTTACCTGGTACTGATTTAAGGTTGGGTCAACCTGGGAACTAAGGTCATTTTGAAAAAAAAAGTCAGACTCCATTGGAATTTGAGCACATTAACTTCAGGTTGGCTCATAATGTGAATCATTGTATCGTTTGGCTACTAATAATATCAATTATACAATATAATTTTCATTATGCTACTTATAATATTAGTTATCGTGTATCATTATTTCATTTGGCTAATAATGTAATAGATCATATTAAACTGTTTTTAAGGCCTGATAGATTGTTGGTTTTACAGAAAATTGCTGAAACTTGCAGAACAATCAAAAATAAGTAATCTAAGGGCTTTGAAGTAGGTTGAGAGACAAGAAAAATTTACCATAATCAGCAAAAACAACTTTATTAAATAAGAACAACCAAAACATGTTGTGGCAGCTGAAGAGATATTTTGAAATAGAGGGGAAGAGAGAGAGAGAGAGATTGCAGCTGAAGAGATATATTGAAACAGAGGGAAAGAGAGAACGAACAAACTTTATTTTCAAAGGGTCACAAATTGGGCACGCAGGCCCGTCTTACATTCGGCCCTTCCAGTCAACCATCTTTCGCACAGCAGTTGTATTTTTACTAATAAAGCATGTTATGATATTATGCATATTATGAATATTATAAAAGAACACAAAAGCATGAGTTGTAAAGTGCATGCAAAAACCCGCGCGTGCATACATACACCCACATACACACGATCACCCACTCAGACACACATACATGCATGCAAACATTACATACATACATACATATGTACATACATACAAACATGCAAACAGGCTTACATACATACATACAAACAAACATACATAGATACAAACATACAGGCATACATACATAGAGAGAGAGAGATGGCAGCTGAAGAGATATATTGAAACAGAGGGGAAGAGAGAAAGAGAGAGAGAGATGGCAGCTGAAGAGATATATTGAAACAGAGGGAAAGAGATAGAGAGTCAGAGATGGCAGCTGAAGAGATATATTGAAACAGAGGGGAAGAGAGAGAGAGAGATAGAGAGTCAGAGATGGCAGCTGAAGAGATATATTGAAACAGAGGGGAAGAGAGAGAGAGAGATGGCAGCTGAAGAGATATATTGAAACAGAGGGGAAGAGAGAGAGTCAGAGATGGCAGCTGAAGAGATATATTGAAAAAGAGGGAAAGAGAGAGAGATGGCAGCTGAAGAGATATATTGAAACAGAGGGAAAAAGAGAGAGAGAGAGAGGGGGGGGGGTGGGGGGGGGGGGAGAGAATGAGGGAATATTATGGACAGTCCTGTATGGCATTGAAAGATGTCCGTATATTTTCTTCTTCTTCTTAGCGTTCACTGGCTGAAAACTCTGGTGGGAAATTCTAGTTTTTCATCCGCTTCTAGACTGTTCAACACAGTATTCTTGTTCCAGAATCTGAGTGTTGCGTGCACATCCATTTCACATATCTATACTCATGTGTAGGCAGACTGTTGGTTCCTTGCCTCTCAGGCAAATGCACTGCGACTTCAAAGGAAGCTCCCAGTTAGTCTACTCTTACGACATGCTTCTGGGTAGGCAGTGAGTCTATTCCTGTTTTCCCCACATGGAGGCCCTGGAACCCACATGGGGGCCCTGGAACCCACATGGGGGCCCTGGAACCCACATGGGGCCCCTGGAACCCACATGGGGCCTTGGAACCCACATGGGGGCCCTGGAACCCACATGGGGGCCCTGGAACCCACATGGGGATGTCAGTATATTAATTAATGCATACTGTTGTAAACAGTAAAATGTTTAGTAGTATGAGTCCCACTTTGTTTGCAAGACATTTGATAACCATGATTCATGATGTTTTGTTTATTTATTCATAGTTTGTTTCTCTTGTACATTCCCAAGGACATCTAGCGGCCATGACAAAAGCATTTAGAACCGCGGACAGGTTTCAGACCCAGTGTAAACCCTTATCTGCTGTTACTTTGTCAAGATGCTCATCCAAACAGGCAGGTCCCAAACCACTGAAAGCTGTCATCTTTGACATGGGAGGTGTCATCATACCTGGCCCTTTTAAATTATTTGAAGGTATTCTTTACATAATCTATTCAAACTGTACTGTGAATTAATAAGATCCATATGTCAGGAATGTCCTTTGGTTGGCATAATGTAAACACCTGGCACATGCTGATATCATGATTTTGATTGTCCTGATTGTACAGAAGTCAACTCTGAGACAGCCAATGTAAACACCATCCCTACCAAACCCCACTTATATTGAAGTATAAAGAAATCTAACAAAGGTGCAATAAAGCCAATCAAGTTTTAGGCCAAATGAACACTAAAAGAACACTGTTCAACACAGTATTCTTACCAATGCTATGCTGTCGATGTCAAACATGGACTCTATCTTCAGAATACAGAAGCAAAATAGTCACAACAGAAATGAAATATTAACACACTGTGCTAGGCGTAATAGGGACAGATGACTTAGGACTGATGATATCACTAGGAGAGTCAGCACAGAACCAATACTGAACTTTACAACAATTCAAATGTTTTGGCCCTGTAAGAAGAATGGTACCAGACAGGGCACCACAGAGAGCAGTGTTATACAGAGTCAGAAGTCGCCCATGCAGAAGATCAACCACAGAAATGTCAGAGACACTGAAAAGTACAGTATAAGAAGAAAATAGAAAAACCTGTTCCAGAGATTTCTTCCTGTCCTGATGCCGTGAGGCATTCAAGGAGTAGAGGGCAGAAGAAAGGGATATTCCATGAAGGAACAAGCCCAACAGAAGTCTTCCGATTGCCACAAGAAGTCCCCCCCCCCCCCCCCCCCCCCCCCATTTTCCTAATGTTTCTGTCCTTTTACCTTCCCTCTGTGAGGCAGGCCACCCAGGGTCACGACTCCCGTGTTTTATTTTCCTGATGTGCAGCTGAATCTTGTCAGTAATAAAGACCACATGTGTTTACGCTGATTACACATGCTGTATCTTGTTCATTGCTAGGAATACTTCCTCAGGAGCCACCTCGGCAAGGTGATCTGCATACATCTTTCTGCTTCTTTGGAATGTCATTCTAACCCCTTGGCTGTTAGTGATCCAGCTTCACTTCTGTAAGCTGCGATATCTGTGCTCTTTGGCCTAAAACACTTGACTTCAACAAAGTCTTGATTATTGTTTTGTTTAAATTGCAAGCTTAACTCTTCGAGTCCCAGGCAGTTTAGCATAAGACACTCAAGGGGTGGTAATGAATTATGAAATTTCACAAATGTTACACATTAAAATAGACCATCCTAATTCAACTACCACGCAGCAAACACATGTAATACATCAAAGTGACCAGGGATTGTTGAGGAATAATATTTGACTAATGCTGATGAAAATAAATTGTGTTAGTAGTTAATTATAAGTAAATAAGCAGATGGTATATTTAGAGAAATTAATTTAAAAAAAAAAAAACAAATTTTCCACTTACCACCAAAGCACTCAAGGAAGACTCGATAAAATATGTCTCAAATTAATCACAAATGAACATGAACCACTTAGTAACCTATAAATAAAATATAAACATGTTCTTTCCATTAGATCTCATTTCAGAGTAACCTTTAGAACATTTAACAGAGCAGCATTATTTCCTTTTTCCTTTTTTTTTTTTTGTAACGAAAAATGACCTCCAAAAATAATTAGTATTTTCACAAAACAAAACACACAAAAACTATATAACACATAATTTGCACGTAATTGTATAGCCTGTGTTCCTAAATAATGAAGGAATCACACTACACCTGACACCGAAGAATATTGCTTTTTGTTTACTAAATTTATTCTCTTTGTACCAGCTGATTTTGTTATCGTGTTAGGCTTTGCATGAGGTATATGTCAGAGCTATCCCTCGTCAAAGTTTGACTCTATCAAAGACTGAAACAAGTCTACTTCATAATTTTCTTTGTCTGGCTTTGGATAAATCTGATAAACATGTGTTTTATTTAAATATGAGGCTTCTAAAGTCACAGATCTTGTTGGCATACATAAAGAAGTCTGCTCGGAGGCAATATTGTTTTGAAAGACACTTAATAACTCAGTAAGGCTAAGAAACATACACAATTTTAGGCTTTTAACCACATTTTCGAATATGCCGAAAGGTCATTATGTGTAAATCAAAAACATAAAACAGGAAATACCATTCATAACTGCCAGTTTGAGTTGTTATACTGACCAGTTGTACATTAAAAACATGAACGCGTCACGCACCTGGATAATACCCGATTGGCGCATGCATGATGTGGTCCTTGAGACTCAAATAGTTAAGGGGCGATGGTTCTGTTAATTTCCTTCCAAAACTAGAGACCCAAAACTCACACAGACAATAAGATAATTTTTATTATTATTTAACTTGTTACCTCGGATTTCTTGTTGTTATTAATATAATGTAATATGTTACCTGAGATTTTTTGCTGTTATCAACATAATTGAACATGTTATCTCAGAATTTGAACGGCAAGCAGAACTGCCCCGAGGAACAGTCAGCCGCTTGATTGCCAGCCAGGGCATGGACAGTTTCTGGGCCCAGATGGAGTTGGGTAGACTCACAGTCAGCCAGTTTACTCAGTCATTTAACAAGGAGCTGTCACAGCATGTAAGTTGTGTAGTTAGTGTTTTGTTAATATCTCATTGAATACTTCGTCTTTCATTCACTTGAATTAGATTATCTGTATAGTTAGTGTTTTGTTTATATCTCATTGTATACTTCATCTTTCATTCACTTGAATTAGATTATCTGTATAGTTAGTGTTTTGTTTATATCTCATTATATACTTCATCTTTCATTCACTTGAATTAGATTATCTGTATAGTTAGTGTTTTGTTTATATCTCATTATATATACTTCATCTTTCATTTACTTGAATTAGATTATCTGTATAGTTAGTGTTTTGTTTATATCTCATTGTATACTTCATCTTTCATTCACTTGAATTAGATTATCTGTATAGTTAGTGTTTTGTTTATATCTCATTATATACTTCTTCTTTCATTCACTTTAAATAGATTGTCTGTTTCTGCAGTGTTGTCTCTACTATGAGACTCACTCAACTCAAGGAAAAGGCAAGAGGAATATACAGTAGTCTGTAGCGAAAATAAAACCATTGCCGACTTTACCAGAGCACTGTTGGCCAAGACATTATTTCTTACGGCATAAAACTATTTCAATCAGCACAAAGAAACATCTCATCCAAAGCATATTCACTCCATACTCTATGCTACCAGTGCTAGACATGGTCACTCACAAGAAATCACACAAGAAATTTAGTAACAATGGAAATAAGATGTCTGAGAATGGCTACAGGAATGACCAAAAAAGATACTGGGTCGTAAGAGAAAAGTCGGCACAGGAGCCCACTTAGAATGTCTTGTGACACCATACCACACGAAGCATACACCAAAAGAGGAGAAGGACGTCAAACATGGGGTAGACCAAGAACAAGATGGAATTGTGACATCAGAGGAAATCTACAAAAGCATGATGTGTCAATGATCAAATTGTACAGAAGGGCAAGAATCATCATCATCAAGTGCCTTGCCAGCTGGCAAAGGCATTCATGCATCTCCACAGATCTCAGTCTTTGGTGTTCTGGATCAATTCCACTAAAGATATTCCTCCATGCGACTGTCTTAACTCTTTGAGTCCCAGGGGGTTTAGCATCACAGGCCCAGTGGGTAGTAAAGAAAGTAATAAAATCGGCGCATCATGCGTTCATTGGGCTTTTAGGTAGGAACCTATGAACGTATGATGCGTTCCTTGGGACTCAAAGAGTTAAGCCATCCACCATCATGTCTCTTGGTCTGCCTCTGCATCTTCTACCAGTAATCTTTCCAGTCGTCACGATATTCTCTAGTGCTTTTTTTCTCATCACATGAACAGAGAACTTTGTCTCCTTCTCATCGTTTGTATATAATGATCTACTTTCATTTGCAATTTCCAGGCAATCATTGTTATTTATTCTGGCAATCCAAGGCATGTGCAACATTCTTCTCAAGAACCATATGAATCCCTCAACACCCGAAGCGGCAACAAGAAGCAAAGAAGTGTTTTTGCTGTTGGCTACTTTCTGTCTTTCCTGATGATAAAACATTAGGTTGTGCTATATAGGAAAGCACATGAATCACCTTCCGTGGCCATGAATGAGTGTGACTAGCAAGATCCCACATGAAACACAGCCCAAGGCCATTAATGAGTGTGACTAGCAAGATCCCACAGGAAACACAGCCCATGGTGATAAATGAGTGTGACTAGCAAGATCCCACATGAAACACAGCCCAAGGCCATGAATGAGTGTGACTAGCAAGATCTCACAGGAAACACAGCCCAAGGCCATGAATGAGTGTGACTAGCAAGATCTCACATGAAACACAGCCCATGGTGATGAATGAGTGTGACTAGCAAGATCTCACATGAAACACAGCCCAAGGCCATGAATGAGTGTGACTGGCAAGATCCCACAGGAAACACAGCCCATGGTAATGAATGAGTGTGACTAGCAAGATCCCAAATGAAACACAGCCCATGGTGATGAATGAGTGTGACTAGCAAGATCCCACAGGAAACACAGCCCATGGTGATGAATGAGTGTGACTAGCAAGATCCCACATGAAACACAGCCCATGGTGATGAATGAGTGTGACTAGCAAGATCCCACAGGAAACACAGCCCATGGCCATGAATGAGTGTGACTAGCAAGATCCCACAGGAAACACAGCCCATGGTGATGAATGAGTGTGACTGGCAAGATCCCACAGGAAACACAGCCCATGGTGATGAATGAGTGTGACTAGCAAGATCCCACAGGAAACACAGCCCATGGCCATGAATGAGTGTGACTAGCAAGATCCCACAGGAAACACAGCCCATGGTGATGAATGAGTGTGACTGGCAAGATCCCACAGGAAACACAGCCCATGGCCATGAATGAGTGTGACTAGCAAGATCCCACAGGAAACACAGCCCATGGCCATGAATGAGTGTGACTAGCAAGATCCCACAGGAAACACAGCCCATGGTGATGAATGAGTGTGACTGGCAAGATCCCACAGGAAACACAGCCCATGGCCATGAATGAGTGTGACTAGCAAGATCCCACAGGAAACACAGCCCATGGCCATGAATGAGTGTGACTAGCAAGATCTGCCGGTATTAAGATAAGTCTTCCACAATTAGAGCATAGTTTATATGTTTCTTCTCAGAGTCTCGGCTCCTAAATTTTCTGCTTTAATTTTCTTCTGACCTTCCCCCATTTAACATACCTATTATTGAGCAGACTGCCCTTTTCCAACTGTGAAGCATATCGTGCTGTCCTTATCATTCTGTGGGTATTATGGTTGGTGTGAGTACCATACACCGGAAGGGAAAAGAAAAGGGGAAGACCAAGAAAGACTCTACGTACAACCATCATCAGGGAAGGCTCAACCATAGGCCTGACAAACATCCAGGACCTAAAGCAGGTGGCAACAACCCGCCAGACATGGAGAGCTATGACCTCTGCCCTATGCACCACCCTAGCCCCAAGAGGAAAGAATGACTAAGTACCATAGTGACTGCCTTTATGTCTACTGAATGATTCCTGGTTGACCCGTAGAAAGAGATGTAAATATCATCATCATCATGTGCCACGCCAACTGGCGTAGGCGCTCATGCGTCCCCACAGATCATGATCCCTGGTTGCCTGGAACAGCTCTCTTGATGATATCCCTCCATGCCATCTTTTTAGCCCATCTAGCATCACCTCTCTTGGTCTGCCTCTACCCCTCTTTCCACTGACCTTTCCAGTTGTCACGATGCTTCTCTTCTCATTATGTGGTTAAAGAACAGTGTTTGTCTCTTTCTTATTGTTGTACATAGAGATCTACTTTCATTAGCCTCTTTCAAGCAATTGTTGTTAGTTACTATGGCCGTCCAAGGTACTCGTAACATTCGTCTCAGAAACCACATCTCTGTTGCTTCCAAATTCTTCTTCATTTGTTCAGTGACATTCTAACATTTGCTGCCAAACAGCAGAACAGGTTCTCTGTAACATTTTAGCACCCTCTCTCTGACATTAAATGAGAGCGGTTTATTACAAAAGATATTTTTCATTTTCTGAAATGCAGCTTTCGCTTGACCTGTTCTGCTTTTAATCTCTGTCACTCATTTTCCATCTGATGGCATGATTGTTCCCAGATATTTAAATTTATTGACTCGGTTAAGTCTTTTCCCTTCAACTGAGATATCACATCGTGGAATTATCTTCTTCTTTGATGTAACCATTACTTCGGTTTTCTTAATATTCAATGAAAATCCTTTCTTAGCACTCTCTATCCCCACAGTATCCAGCAGTTGTAAATATATTTAGAGCATAATGAGATAGAGCAGATAAAGAAACCCAAATCAGGCACTAAAATGGGAAACAAAGGATTGGGAACGTGAGGACATCTAAAAGAAACCCTAGAATGGTCATTGGTGAGAGAAACCAAAGGTTCACATGGTATCGAAAGGAAAGCAGAGGGTAGAATAGAATTCAGGGTTATAATGAAAGCTCTAGGTAATACATAAACAGTACAAGGGGGATAATGCAGAGTGTTCAAAATTGACCTTGGCTTCCAGGTCAATCCACCCTAAGGATTTGAAGCCTAAGACCATCAGACCAGCAGCAAGTTGCATATAACATTTGTTAGCCAGCAGCAAGTTGCATATAACATTTATTAGCCAGCAGCAAGTTGCATAAAACATTTGTTAGCCAGCAGCAAGTTGCATATAACATTTGTAGCCAGCAGCAAGTTGCATATAACATTTATTAGCCAGCAGCAAGTTGCATATAACATTTGTTAGCCAGCAGCAAGTTGCATATAACATTTATTAGCCAGCAGCAAGTTGCATATAACATTTGTTAGCCAGCAGCAAGTTTCATATAACATTTATTAGCCAGCAGCAAGTTGCATATAACATTTATTAGCCAGCAGCAAGTTGCATATAACATTTATTAGCCAGCAGCAAGTTGCATATAACATTTGTTAGCCAGCAGCAAGTTGCATATAACATTTGTTAGCCAGCAGCAAGTTGCATATAACATTTGTTAGCCAGCAGCAAGTTGCATATAACATTTGTTAGCCAGCAGCAAGTTGCATATAACATTTGTTAGCCAGTAGCAAGTTGCATATAACATTTATTAGCCAGCAGCAAGTTGCATATAACATTTATTAGCCAGCAGCAAGTTGCATATAACATTTGTTAGCCAGCAGCAAGTTGCATATAACATTTGTTAGCCAGCAGCAAGTTGCATATAACATTTGTTAGCCAGCAGCAAGTTGCATATAACATTTGTTAGCCAGCAGCAAGTTGCATATAACATTTATTAGCCAGCAGCAAGTTGCATATAAAATTTATTAGCCAACAGCAAGTTGCATATAACATTTGTTAGCCAGCAGCAAGTTGCATATAATATTTGTTAGCCAGCAGCAAGTTGCATATAACATTTGTTAGCCAGCAGCAAGTTGCATATAACATTTATTAGCCAGCAGCACATTGCATATAACATTTATTAGCCAGCAGCAAGTTGCACGTAACATTTGTTAGCCAGCAGCAAGTTGCATGTAACATTTATTAGCCAGCAGCAAGTTGCATGTAACATTTATTAGCCAGCAGCAAGTTGCACGTAACATTTATTAGCCAGCAGCAAGTTGCATATAACATTTATTAGCCAGCAGCAAGTTGCACGTAACATTTGTTAGCCAGCAGCAAGTTGCATGTAACATTTATTAGCCAGCAGCAAGTTGCACGTAACATTTGTTAGCCAGCAGCAAGTTGCACGTAACATTTATTAGCCAGCAGCAAGTTGCATATAACATTTATTAGCCAGCAGCAAGCTGCACGTAACATTTGTTAGCCAGCAGCAAGTTGCACCTAACATTTATTAGCCAGCAGCAAGTTGCATATAACATTTGTTAGCCAGCAGCAAGTTGCATCTAACATTTGTTAGCCAGCAGCAAGTTGCATCTAACATTTATTAGCCAGCAGCAAGTTGCACATAACATTTATTAGCCAGCAGCAAGTTGCATATAACATTTGTTAGCCAGCAGCAAGTTGCATCTAACATTTGTTAGCCAGCAGCAAGTTGCATCTAACATAGCCAGCAGCAAGTTGCATATAACATTTGTTAGCCAGCAGCAAGTTGCATATAACATTTGTTAGCCAGCAGCAAGTTGCATATAACATTTATTAGCCAGCAGCAAGTTGCATATAACATTTATTAGCCAGCAGCAAGTTGCATATAACATTTGTTAGCCAGCAGCAAGTTGCATATAACATTTGTTAGCCAGCAGCAAGTTGCAAATAACATTTATAAGCCAGCAGCGGTTGATGTTAAACATTTACTAACCATCAGCAAGTGAGATTAATATTTACTGGTCAGCAGCAAGTGATGTATAACATTTACTAACCAGCATTAAGTGAGAAATAACATTTACTTACTAGACAGCAGCAAGGGATATATATATATAACATTTACTAGACAGCAAGTAGTATTTACTAGACCGCAGCAAATGATAATTAAAATTTTTTTACTCGACAGCAGCAAGTGATATATATATATATATATATATATATATATATATATATATATATATATATATATATATATATATATATATACCCGGCTCTCTAGCGAAGTTGGTTAAACCTGACTTTCGCGGCGGCCGGGTGACGAACTCCTTGTGGCCTGGGTTCACTCCCGGGGGTAGGCAGAAAAGCCACATTTCTCCCAGATTAACGGTACCTATAATGGAATCAAGGCCGAAGGGTTGCGATATCCATAGTACCGAGCCAAAGGGTTTACAACTCATGGTTTCTGGATACGTTTAAAAAAAAAAATATGTATATATATATATATATATATATAAATATAAAAATATATATATATATAACTTTTATTAGACAGCAGCAAGTGATATAAATATAACATTTACTAGCCAGCAGCAAGTGATGTATAATATTTACTACTGTTTTTCCTTCAAGGCTGGTCGTGACATTGACGTCTCTTCTTTAGTTGCCAAAATAAACCACGGAATGGACGTATCATCGCCAGTCATGATTGATGCGATCAAGTGTGTCCGAGCTGAAGGTTTGAAGACAGCCTTACTTACCAACAACTGGTTCACTGATGAGCTGAAGACAGTGACAAAACTGCCGGTGGACAGATCACTGTTTGATGTGGTAAGCTCTGAAATCTTCTTCTGAAAGCAGAGATAAAAATGCCCATAAAGTGATAGGTTAGTCACTTTATGATGTAGTTAATTTTTATACAATCATTTCTATTGATGAGTTTAAAGCAAAGACAAATATTGCCTTGTGCCAGATCACTGTTTGATGTGGTAAGGACTAAAATCTTCTTCCGAAGGCAGAGATAAAAATACCCATAGGTAGATCACTTTATGATGTGGTCAAGTTGTATACAATCATTTCTAGTGATGAGTTGAGTTGAATTGAGCTCAACTCTGTTCATCTCTTTTCAGAATTTGTCCAATATAGAGCCATCTTCCCTGTCTTATAACTGTTGATACTCGTGGTTGCCCAGAAATGTGTCTTATTCCTTCCCTCCTCTTGAATTCATCCAATTTTATATTGACAACCAACACATCAAAGAAACCAATCATTGACAGGTTGTAGAGTCGTGTGTGCTGGGCATCCGGAAACCTGACCCGAGGATATACACGCTGTGCCTGCAGGAGCTGATGGTCAGTGCTGATGAGGCTGTGTTCCTGGATGACATCGGTGCTAATTTGAAAGCAGCAAAAGATCTTGGAATTAGGACAATAAAGGTAAATCTTTCACCGTTTCACACCATAACAATCTTTAAAAAAAAAAAGACTTTTTTCAAAATGTTGTTGAAAAGAAACACATCATTATACTCCAGAAATTCTATCCTAAGAAACTAGATGCAGGAAAGGAGAAGCAGAAGAAGTCTTCGTCAGTTTTTATAAACATTTAGGGGGGAGGGTGTTGGGTAAAAGATTAACAAAGATGTCTTGAAAGAAACTGTCTCACAAAGAGAACCTATGACCACCAAGCAGACATGCAAGCCTCTTAGCTATTGCATTATTGTGGCCCCCAAATCACTTAAAAGATGGATTTTTCATTGTCATTATTTTGCACAAAGAGGATTTTTTGTAATTTTTAAAGTAATTAATCACTAAATATACATGGAGCAAAGAAATAACTGTTCCTTATCTTTGACTAAGAAAACAGCAGATTTGTTGACACAGCCACAGAGAGCAAAGTGACATCATCATATGTGTATTATGACATCACAATGACTCTCACCCCCCCCCCCCCCTCCCCCCACCATGTTTGGAAACTCATGGGACAACTGGTATATGTTTGTCTTGCCTTTGTTCTGATATGGAGTCCTTACCAGACCTCCTTGTCAATTCCTTTTGCATCATTCTGTCCAGACTGGCATCTCTTTGTTCCTCCTCTACCCTTTACAAAGTGCTAGTGCTCCCAAGTATCTTGAGCACATCTGCCTTGACACGCATCAACCACCCCCCCCCCCCCCTTCCCCACTTGTGCAGAACTGGCCAATCTGGTTTGCTCGTTCATTTCCTAAAACACCTGCTTGTCGTGCAGAAAGCTGAAAGAGCACTGACTACCCTTGACCTCCAAAGCATTGGAGACCACTGCACAAAGCATGAGGGTTCGCACCTCTCTCAGCAGGCTTTGAGAATCTGTTACAATCGTGATATTTGTGGTCTGTTACAATCGTGACATGTGTGGTCTGTTACAATCATGACATTTGTGGTCTGTTACAGTCATGACATTTGTGGTCTGTTACAATCATGACATTTGTGGTCTTTTACAGTCATGACATTTGTGGTCTGTTACAATCATGACATTTGTGGTCTGTTACAGTCATGACATTTGTGGTCTGTTACAGTCATGACATTTGTGGTCTGTTACAGTCATGATATTTTTGGTCTGTTACAATCATGACATATGGTCTGTTACAGTCATGACATTTGTGGTCTGTTACAATCATGACATATGGTCTGTTACAGTCATGACATTTTTGGTCTGTTACAATCATGACAAATGGTCTGTTACAGTCATAGCATTTGTGGTCTGTTACAGTCATGACATTTGTGGTCTGTTACAGTCATGACATTTGTGGTCTGTTACAGTCATGACATTTGTGGTCTGTTACAGTCATGACATTTGTGGTCTGTTACAGTCATGACATTTGTGGTCTGTTACAATCATGACATATGGTCTGTTACAGTCATGACATTTGTGGTCTGTTACAATCATGACATATGGTCTGTTACAGTCATGTCATTTGTGGTCTGTTACAATCATGACATTTGTGGTCTGTTACAATCATGACATTTGTGGTCTGTTGCAGTCATGACATTTGTGGTCTGTTAGTCATGACATTTGTGGTCTGTTACAGTCATGGCATTTTTGGTCTGTTACAATCATGACATATGGTCTGTTTCAGTCATGACATTTGTGGTCTGTTACAATCATGACATATGGTCTGTTACAATCATGACATTTTTGGTCTGTTACAATCATGACATATTGTCTCTTACAGTCATGACATTTGTGGTCTGTTACAGTCATGACATTTTTGGTCTGTTACAGTCATGACATTTGTGGTCTGTTACAGTCATGACATTTGTGGTCTGTTACAGTCATGACATTTGTGGTCTGTTACAGTCATGACATTTTTGGTCTGTTACAGTCATGACATTTGTGGTCTGTTACAACCATGACATTTGCGGTCTGTTACAACCATGACATTTGTGGTCTGTTACAGTCATGACATTTGTGGTCTGTTACAATCATGACATTTTTGGTCTGTTACAGTCAAAACATTTGTGGTCTGTTACAACCATGACATTTGTGGCCAATTCTCCAGCCAGCCTCTCACAGCATGCTGGGAAGTGTTAAATGTTCCGGTTGTTTACTTTCCCTGAAGACTGTGGTAACACACTGGCAACTTAATGTTGATGATTCCTCAGAGAGGTTCCAGGGCCACATTGAAGGAACAGAAGAGAATAGCCCCACTGCTCACTTAACAAGCAAAAGTAAAAGTTGACAAATTGGGGGTGCTTCATTTGAAGTCAGAGTACTTATGCCTGTGTGACAATGAACCAACAGTCTGTATACAAATAAGTCATATCGGTAAAATGGATGTACACGCAAAACTCAAGTTCTGAAATAAAAGTCCAGAAGTGGATGAAGAATAAAAGCTATCTGCCAGCATTTACAGCTAGACAACACCAAAAAATGGCTTTCTTTAAAAGTTTTACACACACACAAAAGTAAAGATTCCTTTTTACGCCGTGGTCAGTATTACGCCGGCCATCTTTACTTTCCCAGGACAGCCACCCTGGTACTCATTTTAGGTTGGGTCGACCTGTGACACCCCATACAATGAAGAAAATCCACGCAACCAGCAGAGGGTTTTGATCGCGGTATGTTGGAATTAGGAGTCAGACTCGCAACGCCTAAGCCACGGATGCCGCAATGGCTTACTTTAAAAACATTTCTTTTGTTGCTATGTTTGGAAACTTTTGGGACACCTAGTATATGCTTGTCTTGTCTTTGTTCTGAGTACTAAGTGTCTATCAGACCCCCTTGTCACTTCCTTTTGCGTCATTCTTTCCAGACTGGCGATCTGTTTGCTGTTTCACATAGTTCTCGTGCTGCAAAGTTCCTAGATCACATCTGTCTTGTTATGCACCATTTCACACACACACATAAATACTCCCCCCCCCCCCCCCCCCCTAATTTGTGCGGCGGGGCATTCCAGGAGTAGTGAAAAGAAGAAGGTCATTAATGAAGAAAAATGCTGATGATAATGTATTTCATTAGGCCAGGTTGTCCAAGTGCTCAGCACCTTGATCTGATCGTTGTAGGTTCACAGTCCAGAGCAAGGTGTGGCAGAGTTGGAGCAGATCCTAGGCAGCCAACTCAGGGGTTTTGTCCCTGGCACAACAGGTGTGCCCAAGCATCTACAGCTGGACTCCACCAGTCTGGAGAACTACTTGAAGTCACTAGCACTGCAGGATAGTGGTGAGTCTGTGTGTACTTACCAGGAGGCTTCACAATTAAAACCTTTTTAAAGTGTGATAGAAATTACAGTAACCATGCTAGTGTCCTGCTACCTGTCAGGATTATTGTTAAGGATGTCAAGAGTGTTAAGCAGATGACATCACAGGCCGGCTTCTTCTTCTTGATAACTGAAAAATTGCACGCTAAATACATTCGATGGCAACAGTGGTCCTGAAATATCATGTAATTCTTTGGATGTACAAGAGATACCCAGTAGTTTGTATGAGATATATGCTTACACTGCCTGCTATTGCAGATAAACTCAAAGTTCTGCAAGCAAAGTCACATTTCAGAGTAGCTGTAGACAAGAAGCACCTGCTGCATGAAGCCCTGGGTAGATTTAAGGGTCACAGACTGAAAAGAGGAAAGTCTTTTGTGGCACAAGCTGAAGACATAATTGGACATTGTGCAAGCTTGATAAATTTGGGCGAGGAGAGGGGTGGATCAAAGTATCCTAGCAAGAATCAGATTTTTTCTCATCACTTAAAGTCGTGAGTGCAAGGACAGGCCAGCAGGCGCTGCAGTGAGAAGTTCAACAACTGATTCATGACAATTCCTTCCCAGGTGATGTGATTCTCTCTACAGATGGCTTTGTGATTTTTCTTCTTCTTCTTCTGCGTTCGACATCAGTCATGCTACACATTGAGTCCCGTCTCGGTCAAAAATAGGATTGTGCGTTTAAGGTCGCCACCGGTCCCCCAAAGCTTTTCTCGCAATGTGGATTCCCTGGGCCAGATCCACAGTCTTTGCTGGAAGAGGTAAGGGCAGTACTGCAGTATGTAACTTTGTGATGAGAGGCAGACAAAGTGCATAGAGGTTCATAGCAAAAGAGAATGGACATCCCTTAGTGCAGCAAAGCATGGCAAATAATATCACAACGTCTGGTTTGAGAATGGAGGTGGAGGCCGTCAATGATGCCTACCACTGGCTTGAGAATCATCTCTACACACATGTTGTAATTGTAACTGACTCTTAGAGCATATTGAGAAAGCTTGAGACAGGCATGCTCTTTGCAGAGTGGCAAGCATTGCTTCAAAAGTCCTGAGTAAGTAGTGTCCTTTGATATTGTCTAAATGTCACACTGATGTGTTGGGAAATGAGCAGCCAGATAGACTGGCTGGTTCTGCACCACTTTTTTTTAATTTTACTTTTAAAATCTTTCTATCCACAGCCCCTCCAGCAGTCAGAATGTTTGAGCACGGCCAGTCCAACCCTACATATTACGTTTCATATGCTGGAAGACACTTGGTGCTGAGGAAAAAGCCAGTGAGTTATCAATAACCTCTTTCTATACTAGGGAACAGACCATGTGTGACTGGGTAGTGGTAGTCATTGAAACACAGTAGTCTGGTAATCTGGTAATTTTAATTTCAGCTTCATAGCAAACGGGTCACCCCATCTTTGCTCCGCTCCTGTGCCAACGAAAAACACACAGAATGTTTATCACAGTCCCTTGTGGAAAGACTGACAAGTAACCTGTTCAACCCATCCAGGTTTTAATAGGGATAAATAGAGGTTTGTTTCTGTTTCACTAATTCTTCTTCCTCGCGTTCACTGGCGGAAAGTTCTGGATATTTGTCTACATCTGGGCTTCAGTCTTTTCCCAGAGCTTGAGTGTTGCGTGCACATTCGTTTTAAACATCAAACTTCCCTGTAGGCAGACTGTTGGTTCCTTGCCTCTCAGGCAGACGCACTCTGACACCGAAGGAAGCCCTAATTAAAAAACTATGACATGCTTATTAGGTAGGCAGTGGGTCTATTCTGGTTTTCCTGGAAGCCAAATGGAGAATTTCATTAATTGATATTTATGCCTATCAGTTGTGTTTGGTTATTGAGTATTGCTTAGCTTAAGTATTCATTTTGCAGCAGAGATGTGGTTTATGAGATGAATGCAAAGGATGCCATGGAATGATAGAAAAACAAACGAGGTAGTCTTTGCAGAGACAGATGAAAGTCGTAAACTTATTAGAGCAATTAGACTTAGGTAGCTAGTGTTTTACAGCAGACCATCTGAAAGGAAGGCGAGAGGAAGACCATGAAAGAGATGGACAAATAGTGTAGCAGAAAACTGCAAAAAAGGTGAACAAATCCATCACCCAAGCCACTACCCGATAAGTGCAAGGCAAATACAGAAAACCACGACAATGGGCTACAACCTCTTGTCCGTGAAGCGACAACAGAAGAAGAAGAAGCCATTGTTTTCTGGACATGTTATGAGAAGGAATTGACTTGAGAACTTGGTAACAACTGGCGAGATTGATGGGAAGAGAGCAAGAGGAAAGCAAAGAAACAAATACCTGGATCATCATCATTATCCCATAACACTACGTGTCGTTGGGTCACCAGTTTCTGTTGACTGTCTGATCGTCTCTCTCCACCTTTGGCGGTCAGTTGCGATGACTTCATGGTTGCATGCCTGAGACCTGTCCAGTCAGTCAGGTTTTGTAACCAGGTCTTTCTTGGTCTGCCTCTTCTCCTCTTTCCTCTTCTGAGCCCTACTGTATTGTTTTTGAAAGGCCGTTAGATCTTACATGTCTATACCACTGCATTTTTCGCTTTTTCACTAAATATTACCTGGATGACCCGGTCAAATGAATGGGGCAAGACAAAAAACGTTGAACTGATCCAGGATTCTGGTGATCGTGTTATATGGCGAAACATGACAGCCAATGCTTACCAGCATGATGATGTTGATGTATTAATTGTATAAGATCTTAGAAGTTTACATTGTCAAGTTTCAATGTAATTTAATTAAGCTTTGAAACAATAATGGTAATTATATTGTGTAGTCTGTCTTTGCAGCAATTTAAAGTGATCTGGGATATCATTATTCTGTCTTAAGATATATTAGCATCTCATGTGCTAACCCCTGTTCACGTGTTGTGTACTGTTTAATCCTTCCCTGTAGTGCTTTATAGCCATCTTCTCCCAGGCATGTTTACTTATTCATCATCATCATGTGCCCTGTCAACGTGGTTGCCTGGAACAGCTCTCTTGATGATATCCCTCCATGCCATCGTTTCAGCCCATCCAGCATCATCTGTCTAAGTCTGTCTATACCCCTTTTTCCACTGATCTTTCTAGTTGTCACGATGTTCTCCAATGTCTCTATTCTCATTATGTGGCCAAAGAAGAGTGTTTGTCTCTTTCTTTTTGTGTTTTTTAAGTGTTTTTTTAGGAATATGATGTGGTGGTTTCCTGTTGCCTTACACACACATGGGCATTTTAACCTGCACCTTTGACAGGACAAGTGGTTGCCCTTCTTTGCCCAGCTGCAGAGTGATCCACTTATTCGGGTGGATGCTCGGTCCCCATATCTGCGTTAGCCTCACCGTGGTGTTTCCCACCCTCTACCACAGTGAATAACATTCCTGTTCAAGGACATCCTCTATGATGAATCACAGATGGGTAGAAGATGTCAAGGCCAACCTCTACTTAAATATAAAGATGTATGCAAGTGGGACATGAATGATACAGGTATTGAGGTAGACTCTTGAAACAAAATGCCATGGACTGTCTTGCATGGAGAAATGAAGGATGAGATGAGAACTTAGCATCTGATAAAAAACAAACTAAACACAGATGTTGGCAACAACGGTCCTGAAATCCCATGCTATAATTGTGAAAGACTTTTCTTAGTACGGGCGGGTCTTGCCAGCCACTGTATTTTGTGAGTCCTGTGCCTCCTGTTCTTCTCTTTTCTTTTCTCTACTCCTGGAATGCCTCGCAAGGGCAGGGTAAGAAGAGATCTCTGGAATGGGCCCTTCTGTTTCCTTCGCATAAAGTACTTTTCAGTGTCTCTTATGTTTATGCAGTCCATATTCTGCATGGTCGACCTCTGGCTCTGTTACTGTTGTATCTCTACAACATTGCTCTGTGTGGTGCCCTGTCTGATGCCAGTCTTGTTACATGGCCAAACTGTTGATTTGTTGTCTACCTATAAAGTTCATAATGGGTTCCGTGCTGACTCTGCTCCTGAAATCATCATTTTTAAGTCAATCTTTCCTTGTAGCATAGTACATAAACATTTCCTTTCTGCCGTGACTATTTTCATTCTGCCTCCTAATAGCACAGTATAACACTAATGTCTAGAAAGGTAGAAATGTGCGGTCACATTCATGTTCACAGTCAACATTCTGTATGTTTTTATACCTTATGTTCAGTCACAGACTGTAGATAACTTTGACTGCATATCTGCTTCCTGCAGAGTTGTGTAGTCAGGCCCTCTAGAAGTAGAAAACTTATGCCTGACTATGTCATATTTATGTATAACAACCAGCATACCTGCCTGCGTTAAGTCATCCATGTTAATCCAGCTTAACAATTGGTGCCAGTTACAGTCCTCGGAACTGAAGATGGCTGGCATGATGTTGACCAGTCTATACAAATATGAGTCCAGCCCTATATACCCGATGGGCCACTGACATGAAAAGGGTGCTTTACTTTATTTTAGTAGGATAAAAAAAGGTTAAAGGCTAAAGTCGAGAGGATCGGTTTCATTGCACTGGGTTTTATCACCTATGGCTCAGTCTCTCTCCCTAGAATGGCTGCCGCCTGTCAAAAGTGTCACGCAGAGTACGAACTCCATAGTTTCGGTATTGATTCCCCACAGATCTACGTAAATCATGCACCTGTAAACGGAACGACGCAGCCGAAAAACAAACCCATGACCTTCAGAGCGCGAGGCAAATGCCTTGACCTCTTCACCCCTGAGAAGTCATATTTTACAAATGGATACCGATCAACATGTTATGCATTTACTTACATCTTATATTTGGTTACGGACTCTTAAAAACTGCTGACAACATATTTTTTTCTAACAAGGAGTGTGTACATCCTCTTGTAGTTGACCTAAAACATTTTATACATTCATTTGACTGTTTTTGACATAAACATTTATGATACATTTACTTCAGTATTGTTAACATAAACATATTTGATACTTTTATTTGACCGTTGTTTACATAAACATATTTGATACATTCACTTCAGTGTTGTTGACATAAACATTTTTATTACATTCATTTGACTGTTGTTGACATAAACATATTTGATACATTCACTTCAGTGTTGTTGACATAAATATATTTGATCCATTCACTTCAGTGTTGTTGGCATAAACATATTTGATACATTCACTTTAGTGTTGTGGACATAAACATTGTAAATACATTCTCTTGAGTACAGAAGCCAAAAAATATAAATGATGCAGTCAGTTGCAGTTCCTACTTTACAGCAGATGTTCACTTCATAACTGCTCCATTCCTGTCCTAGCCAAAAACACACAGAATGCTCATCATGTCGCTTGGATCAACAATTGAAACAGGCTGCAGTCCCAGAAAAGCAAGTAGCATACACACACAATAAATGAATGAGCTGGAAGTGCCAACACAAACATTCCACAATTAGAATCGCCTCTAGTCATTTGCTTACAGCAAATTATTCAGTTGTTGCACAGTAATATTGCATAAGGCATCACCAGTTCTGTGGCTACAGGCTAATCATCATTTCCTGAATTTAGAGGAGTGCTCTTAAGTGTTGTTGACATAAAGAGATTTGATACATTTCTCTTCAGCCAGGGAAGCTGCTGCCTTCAGCACACGCTGTAGACAGAGAGTTCCGAGTCATGTCTGCCATGCAGAGATCAGGTGTGCCAGTTCCAAACATGGTGGCTTTCTGCAGTGATAAGAGGTCAGTAGGGTGTCTTGTTCATCCATCATACATGTTCATCCACTATACGTGATGAGGACCACCAGCTCTTTCATCTGCAAAAATAGTGTGGTTTATGTGTAAGAGCTGAGTTAAGAACCGATATCACAGCACTCAGGAAATTCTCATATGTGAATGGTCCCCATATTCAGCAGCCAGTGAAACTCCAATCCCTGTGATGCCAGTAGCAGTCTGATTGTAATCTTGGTAATCTTAGTTTTAGCTATATAACAACCGAGCTGCCTCAACGATAGACACATACTGTTGTAGAGTTTCTCAGATGTTATCTTGCCATCTTGTTCTTGGTCTACCTTTTGCTATACGTCCTTCTCCTGTTTTGGTGTATGCTTTGTATGGTAGCCAGTCACACAGCATTTTCTCTAAGTAGCGACTCTGTGACAGCCTTTTCTCTTTGCTGATTTCATCTCTTCTGGTCACTCAGACATCTCATTTCCATGCTTATTCATTTTCTTTTCTGGTTTGTTTTTTCACTGGGGCACGCAGGTGTGTTGGGAAATGAACAGGCGGACAGACTGGCTGGCTCTGCACAGCTTAGTGGGATACTGATGCATGATAAGGCAGATGTGGTTAGTGCCTTGTGGGAGAGCTTGTACAGTTTGGAGGAGCAGATGGATCACCACAGTCTGGTGAGATTGATGCAGGGGGAGTGACGAGAGGTTCTGGCAGATGCTCGAGGCTCACAGGAAAGGCAAGACGGACGTTTAATCAGAATGCTACTGGCACTATTAGTATCCAAACTCTTCGCTGGCTGCTGAAGATGGGGACGGAGCACTTATGGGAATGCCTTGAGTGCTGTGATGTCAGTTCTTGAATCAAATCAGTCTTGTCTGGTTTGTTGCAAGTGACCATTTCTGACACCAGTGCTAGAGTGAGAATGAATTGGCTTTGTATGAGGTGTTTCTCCATGCTGATTGGGAATGTCTTATTGTAATAGCAAGGCTAGTGCTAGCTGTCCCAGTTCTACAATGATGGTCATCAATAAAATTAATTACACTGTAACGATTTGATCATAGGTAATAAATCAAGATATAGTGATTTACCATGTAAGAATAAATCAAGATGTATTGATTTCATCATAGTTAATAAATCAAGATATCATGGTAAGAAATCAAGATAATACTGATGGGATTCTGATTACAAAATCAGGAATTTGAACAAAGAAGAATTAAACAATAGATTATAAATTTACCTTAAGGTGCCTACAACAGTGAAATATAGTTTTTAAAAAGCCGTAAAAGACCTCTTTTATGCCTTTGGGGCATCAGACACGTAGTACTAGAAATATATTTGTACAGATCAATCGGAACTCAGTGGGTGATGTGGTCACCATTACGCAGGACATCTTTACTTCTCAGGATATTCACAAGGTGATAAAACAGGGGTGACTGCAGTCAAGCATACCTAGAAATTAATTCACTGAGCTGTGTCTAAAAAACTTAATGATTGTGGGGGGGGGGGGGGGGGGGTGGGGATGGGGGGGTTTGTGTGAATGTGTGAACAACACACACTTACAAGGAAAATTAGACATTTTGGCTGGAGCCTTACTTGACAAAAACTGTTTCTAGACCATGGTTGTGGTGTTTGTTGAGAAAAGCTCTGGCCAAATGTCCGATTTATCTTGTGTGTGTATATGTTGTTCCACTTCCAGCATTTCTTAAGCTTGTTAGATGATCTGTGAATTGTTCCAACAGTTCTAGTGATCACGTCATTTCTCACTTGATCTCTTCTGGTTTTATTGGCAGCTAGTCTCAAACATCTCATCTCACAGGTATTTAGTTTTCTCTTGTGTTCTTTTGTCAGTGTTTAAGTCTGACATTGGTAACCTAAAGTTATGTAACCTAAAGTTATGTAACCTAAAGTCATGTAACCTAAAGTCATGTAACCTAAAGTCAGGTAACCTAAAGTCAGGTAACCTAAAGTCATGTAACCTAAAGTCATGTAACCTAAAGTCATGTAACCTAAAGTCAGGTAACCTAAAGTCAGGTAACCTAAAGTCATGAAACCTAAAGTCATGTAACCTAAAGTCTTATAACCTAAAGTCATGAAACCTAAAGTCAGGTAACCTAAAGTCATGTAACCTTAAGTCAGGTAACCTAAAGTCAGGTAACCTAAAGTCAGGTAACCTAAAGTCAGGCAACCTAAAGTCAGGCAACCTAAAGTCAGGTAACCTAAAGTCAGGTAACCTAAAGTCATGTAACCTAAAGTCATGTAACCTAAAGTCAGGTAACCTAAAGTCATGTAACCTAAAGTCATGTAACCTAAAGTCAGGTAACCTAAAGTCATGTAACCTAAAGTCATGTAACCAAAAGTCATGTAACCTAAAGTCATGTAACCAAAAGTCAGGTAACCTAAAGTCATGTAACCTAAAGTCAGGTAACCTAAAGTCATGTAACCTAAAGTCATGTAACCAAAAGTCAGGTAACCTAAAGTCATGTAACCTAAAGTCATGAAACCTAAAGTCAGGTAACCTAAAGTCATGTAACCTAAAGTCAGGTAACCTAAAGTTAGGTAACCTAAAGTCAGGTAACCTAAAGTCAGGTAACCTAAAGTCATGTAACCTAAAGTCAGGTAACCTAAAGTCAGGTAACCTTAAGTCAGGTAACCTAAAGTCAGGTAACCTAAAGTCAGGTAACCTAAAGTCAGGTAACCTAAAGTCAGGTAACCTAAAGTCAGGCAACCTAAAGTCAGGCAACCTAAAGTCAGGCAACCTAAAGTCAGGTAACCTAAAGTCAGGTAACCTAAAGTCAGGTAACCTAAAGTCAGGTAACCTAAAGTCAGGTAACCTAAAGTCATGTAACCTAAAGTCAGGTAACCTAAAGTCAGGTAACCTAAAGTCAGGTAACCTAAAGTCAGGTAACCTAAAGTCAGGTAACCTAAAGTCAGGTAACCTAAAGTCAGGTAACCTAAAGTCAGGCAACCTAAAGTCAGGTAACCTAAAGTCAGGTAACCTAAAGTCAGGTAACCTAAAGTCATGTAACCTAAAGTCGGTACAAATATTTTATTTATCTTTTTGTCTCTGTTAAAACATGTAGTTGTCTACATTTGTACATTTTTCTTCAAAATATATCAAAGGAATAATCAATAAACCCATATAGAGTGAGGTATTAAATGGAACACAGCGCCCGTAGTGTAAAAAAAAAGTATTAGGTGACTTATGTCATGACACTGTGACCCCAATCACTGATGCTTACAGGAAAATGATACATGTTGAATGTTGAATTAAGAATCAACATCATAACACTCAGGACACCCCCATAAGTGCTCCATTCCCATCTTCAGCAGCAAGTGAAAAGTTTCAATTCCGATGGCACCAGTCTGATTGTCTATCCGTCTAGCCTTTCCCTTTAGTGTTGAGCATCGGCCAGATCCCCTAGTAACTCCTCGCAGGGCCATTCTACTCAGACTGTAATGATCTGTCTGTGTCTCCACACTGTTTACTCACTCCCAAAGGGCCCTCACAATGTCCAGCTTATCATACATCAGTTCCCCACCAAGTGGTGCAGAACCTGCCAGTCTATTTGCCTGCTCATTTCCCAACACACCAGCATTGCCTGGAGAGAATATCCAAAAGATTCTAACTTCTTGCAACCTCTGAAGTGATGCCACACTGCATAGATCATACCTATCGCCACTTTTCTTGACATGCTCTGTGAGTCAGTTACAATCATGGCATGTATGTACAGCTGATTCTCAAGCCATCGGAAGGTAGCAGTGACTGCCTCCACCTCTATTTTCAAACTAGACGTTGTGATATCATATGCCAGACTTTGTTGCACTAAGCAACATCCATTCGCTTTTGCTACGAACCCCCATGCACTTCGTCTGCCCCTCAACACAAAGCCATCTGTATAGATAATCAAATCACCTAGGCAAGAATGTTCATGAATCAATTGCTGAACTTCTGATTCTGCAGCACCAGCTGGCCAGTCCCTGCACTCACGACCCTAAGTGATAAGAACCCTACACAAGTCTGAAACTTGCTTGGACATTCTGACCTACTCCTCACCTCGCACAAATTTATCAAGCCTGCACACATGTCTGATTGTGTCTGCAGCTTGCACCATCCAGGACCTTCCTCTTTTCAGTCTGTGATCCTTAGCTCTACCATGGACTTCATGCAGGAGGTGCTTCTTGTCTGCAGCTAATCTGAGATATGACTTTGTTTGCAGAACTTTAACCCTATCTGCAAAAGTAGACAATTGCAAGTATATAACACCTACATACTACAGGGGTATCTCTGTACATCCCAGAATTACCTGCATGGCTTCATTTTGTATGCGTTCAAGTTTCACCAGCTGGCTATTTGATATGTAACGCATTTCAAGTCCATAATCTATCACCAACAGGATCACATGCTGGAACATTGTGAACAGCATTCTTTGTTCCATGTCCATTGCTGCCATAATCTTGAGAACAGTGATACAGTGATACATCAAAAAACCACTCAGGTCATAAGGAACACACAATACTAGTTTTTTTTACTGTATTCATATCCTTGACTATTTAAAAGCACACAGGCACACACAGAACCAGTGAAATGTAACTGTATTGTCAAGAACAGGTCACTGCAGACATGACTGTATATCCGCATTTATGGAGAGGTTGCACAACCAGAAGTGAACTAACTTGAGGCTTTTTGTTGTAAAAAAATAAATGATTTTGTTTTATTTCTTCTTCCAGCATACTTGGAACACCCTTTTACCTGTGTTTTATTTCTTCTTCCAGCATACTTGGAACACCCTTTTACCTGTGTTTTATTTCTTCTTCCAGCATACTTGGAACACCCTTTTACCTGTGTTTTATTTCTTCTTCCAGCATACTTGGAACACCCTTTTACCTGATGGATTACGTAACTGGTCGTATATTCAAGGACATGCGTCTGCAGGAACTGCCCCAAGCTTCAAGACGGGAAGTTGTCAAGGCTATGGTCAGTGTTCTGGCTCAGATTCATGCTGTGGACATTGATCAAGCTGGACTTGCAGACTATGGGAAAAAAGGTATGTTGTAATAACAGGTCCTGTGTGACAGACACCTTGGGGAAATTTATGTCTTGTTGATCTGATGACAGCAGATGGAATATGTATTACTTACTTTCTTACTTAGTCACTGCTCTTCTACCTTGGGGTGTAGAGGTTTGCCAGAGAGATTGCTAGATTTCTCTATTAGTGGTTTTATTTCTAGCTTTGTTCCATTCCAGTCCTCTGTCAGTCAGGGATTGTTGGATGTTGTCTTCCCAGTGGACCCTGGGTCACCCTGGAGGTCTGGCTCCCTGGTTCTTAGCCTCCCATGCTTGCCATGGTGGCCGATTTTCTCCTATTCTGCATACATGTCCAAACCATTGTAACTGTGACTGGTCCACTCTGACACTCTTATAAGTACCACACTGCAAGGAGTACTTGACACCAGATGAACAAAAGATTGACAGAGATACAGTTGGGAGGATTTTTTTCTTCTTAATGTTCACTGGCTTTAAACCTTGGTGGAAAGTTCTGGTTGTTTGTCCACTTCTAGACTTTGGACTTGTTCCAGAACCTGAGTTTTGCACGCACATCCATTTTACAGATCTAGCTTCCATGTATGCATACAACAGTGGCCAAGTGCTGGTACAACAGTGGCCAAGTGCTGGTACAACAGTGGCCAAGTGCTGGTACAACAGTGGCCAAGTGCTGGTACAACAGTGGCCAAGTGCTGGTACAACAGTGGCCAAGTGCCACTACAACAGTGGCCAAGTGCCAGCACAACAGTCACCAAGTGCCTGTACAACAGTCACCAAGTGCTGGAACAACAGTGGCCAAGTGCTGGTACAAAAGTGGCCAAGTGCCGGTACAACAGTGGCCAAGTGCCTGTTCAACAGTGAAGGAATGATGTTTTGTGGTGAACCTGCCTCTCCTAGAAGTTCATATGTGGAGAAATCTACTGCTCAGTGAAGGCGACAATGTTAATTGGAGGGAAAGCCTCGTAAGTTCAGTAACCAGTCAACACCCTCATTGAGGTAAAGCAGCATAGCATTTCGGCAGCCTTTACTTCCATAATGGTATACCAGGCTGGCCAGACTTCTTAACCATTTTTCTTCTTCTTTATGTCCTCTTTTACCGCTTCGAGTGTCGAGGGAGGTATAAGGTCCTGCTTCGTACTCCTCTGGTTCCTTCGACCACAGAAACATCATGGTTCTTCATCATTACTCTTCTTCTTCTTTGCCTTCATAGACTTTAATCTCTGGCGGACCACCTAGTAGTTCGTCCATTTATGGACTCTAGTCCTGTTCCAGAAACTGAGTATTGTGTGCATATCCATTTCACATGTCTAACTCAACATGCAGAGTGTTGGTTCCTTGCCTCTCAGGCAGATGTACCCCCACTTTGAAGGTAGCTCTCAGTTAGTCAACTCTTATGACATGCTTTGGGCAGGCAGTGGGCCTCGGAACCCACACAGGGACCTCACCACTAAATCTTTGCCCCCATGTTTACTGGATCTGGAATGTACAGTCAAGCACACAACAAATAAAAGATGAGGATTCTGTGCTATAATAACCTTAATATTCTGCCCCAGATGACGTCATAGGACAGTCCAACATTTTAGAGGGTGGTATGACTGGGTTTACTATTATTAAATTACCAAAGAAAGGAGATTTAGGAAGCTGTAACAACTGGAGAGGTATCATATCACTATCCGTAACTAGTAAAATCTTTAGCCGGATAATTCTTAAAAGAAAGACTCAAGCACTTGATAGTATAATAGGGCAAGAGCAAGCAGGATTCAGAAAGGGGAAATCATGTATTGATCACATCTTCAGGCTGCGTCAAATAATTGAACAAAATAGCGAATGGAATAGTGTAGTTTATATGACCTTTGTTCATTTTGAAAAAGCCTTTGATAGCCTGCACAGGGAATCACTATGGAAGATTTAGCGTCACTATGATGTGCCACAGATAATAGTAAATTTGATCAAAGCTATTTACACACAGTTTCAATGCAAGGTAGTTTGTGATAATTATACAACAAAAAGTTTCTTTGTCAACACAGGAGACAGACAGGGAGGCCTACTATCCCCCTTTTTGTTCAATTTGGCCATTGACTGGCAGATGAAGGAAGTTACACGAGATGGAAAAAGAGGCATCAGGTGGTAACTCACCTCTGTTTTAGAGGATTTGGACTATGCAGAGGCATCAGGTGGTCACTCACCTCTGTTTTAGAGGAACTAGACTATGCAGATGACATCAGCCTTATATCAAGCCGACATGTGAACGCTCAGGAAAAGATGGAAAGACTTTCAACAACAGAACTTAAGATAGGACTCAAAATAAACACCAGTCAAACTAAAGTAATGAGAAATAATTACAAAACAGAAAATCCAATTATCTAAATGATGAAGCAATAGAAAAAGTTGAAAAACTCATATACCTCGGAAGTAAAGTTACTCCAGATGGAGATTCTGAAAAGGATTTAGCGTCATGTATAAACAAAGCAAATCAAGCATTTGCCATGCTTAATAATATATGGAAGTCAAAGGTTTTATTTTGAAGACACAACTTTGAATATACAAAAGCAACATTTTGGGAACACTATTATACACCAGTGAATGTTGGAAAATGACAGTGGGAATTACACATAAAACTTGAGACTTTTCAAAATAAATGTTTAAGGAGAATTCTACAAATATTTTGGCCAAACAAGGTCACAAATGAAGAACTGAGGTGGAAAACAGAATGTGCATCACTGGCAAATGTTACCAAAGTAAGACAGTGTCTGCAGAATGACTTATGACACTCTGGCAAAAACAGCTCTCCGGTACACAGCAGATGGGAAAAGGAGATGTGGATGACCTAAGGAAACTTGGAGAAGGACAATAGCAAGGGAAATGAAGGAATGTAAACTGACAAGGGATACCATAGGCAGAAAGGCAGCAGACCGGCAGCAGCGAAGATCACTTGTGAATGCCTTATGTGTCAATAGCGACATGAAGAAAATATAGATATAGAAGACAGAGTTTCCCGGCTTTCTGATGCTTTCAACGACCCCATAACATATAGAACTGGCCCTAACCCCAACCCACCTACGTCCCATGAGAGAGTGCAGCCTAGGTCCCATGACTGCATGCAGCCTATCTACCACCCCCTGAAATGTTAGATTGTCCCGTGACGTGTGAATTTCCCCTGTTTGGCATAGGATATTAATAAAGCATCCAGAATTCAAACTGGACCTAGGTCTACTCAACAGCAACCAGAAAAAATTATGAAAAGAAGTAGATTCAGTAACATAGAGAACTTTAAAACATTACAAGACAGATGTGGTCAAGGCTCTTTGGGAGCAAGCAACAGAATCAGTAAAGAAACAAGATTATTATAGCCTGGAGAGAGTGAGGCACCTGGCCGGCTTATACAAGACGGACATACAGCCAGATTGTGACTGATACCATCAGTAAAGGAACAAGCATTACAATAGTTGCGTTTCCCTCCTCAGCCACACAGCACCAATATCCAGGGTCCAGGGATATACCTTGTACAACCCCTCAAATGGCAGGCAGTTCCTAAGGCTTCTCTGCTTCACCCGCACATATTCCAGGATGAAAAACAGAAGTGCTGCAAGTGAGAATCACTCCTTCTGACCTCTGTACCTCCTCCTCATCTACCATGAACGACAGAGGAAAATTAGCATGCCCCCGGCAGTAAAGATTACCGGTGTTATCCTAGATTGGTACAATGACCAGAGAAGCGAAGGTGACACCCTTTAATATTTGACCGCCTGCACACTGGTTGGCAGTGTACCTAAGCTGTTCAATTGCGAGGTAATGGGTAGTGAGCATACTTTGGATCTTTTCTCCAGGCCATGCCGGCATGGTGGTGAATGAACAGGCAGACAGATTGGCTGGATCTGCACCGCTGGGTGGTGAATTGATACGTGACAAGGCAGATGTGGTCAGAGCCCTTTGGGAACAAGTAACAAACTCAGAAGAGAAACTAGATTAAAATGGGCTGGATAGAATGCTGCACCTGGGTTGGCCAGAGGGTAAGGCAAGATGGACATACAACGAGACTACGATCTGAACCATTAGTATTGGAACTCTGAGCTGGCTGCTGAGGATGGAGATGGAGCGCATATGGGAATGCTCCGAGTGCTGTGATGTCAATTCTTGAATCAACTCAACTCAAGTGGGCCACGGGGGAAGAAAGGTCAAGAGACACGCTGCTGTAAAGGACCTGCTAATTGATTGACTGATTGATTGTTCCACAGGGAACTATGTGGAGCATTGATTGATTGATTGTTCCACAGGGAACTATGTGGAGCGCAACTTCCGCCGTTGGGCGTCCCAGTATGAACACAGCAAAACCCACGAGATCCCCTCCATGACCAAACTGATGGACTGGCTTCCCAAACACATGCCACAGAATGAGAGGGTCACAGTAATTCACGGAGACTTCAGGTACTTCCTTCCTCTGCTTTCATTCTTCCTTCAAATTTTCCACTTCTGCTTTGTCTCCCTCATTCTGTTTCTTCATCGTCATCATTATCCTTTTCATTATCATTCCTTAAATCATCTTCCTTCTTCACCCTTCTTCCTTCTCTGCTTTCTTCTTGTTATTTTTTCTTCTTCCTCCTTCTTCTCTTTCTCATCTTCTTCATCCACATTCTCTTCTCCATCTTTCTTATCCTCTTCTTATTCTTCTTCTTCTCTTCTTCCTCACTCTCTTCTGCTGCTGATCTTTGATATATTCACACACTTGGTCAGAGAATAGAGACATTTGGTGACCAGCTGCATTTTTCTTCTTCATCAAGTCCATGTCGCTAGTAGTCATGTCAGTGTCCACAACCATCTGTCTTGTGTACTTTCCATCAACTCTGACACAGATGATCCAGGCCATGATGTCATACTGTCCAGCATCGTTTCTCTCGTTCTCCCTCTGCCTCTCCTCCCCTCCTACATTCCTACTGTTCCTCCAGCTGCCAGAAAACGATTTCCTGTCTCTAGTCAAAGTTCTGTTAAACCTAGAAGCAGCAAGCCGAGAAACATCTACTGGCGGAGAAACATCTACTGGCGGAGAAACATCTACTGGCCGAGAAACATCTACTGGCGGAGAAACATCTACTGGCGGAGAAACATCTACTGGCCGAGAAACATCTACTGGCCGAGAAACATCTACTGGCGGTGAAACATCTACTGGCGGTGAAACATCTACTGGCGGTGAAACATCTACTGGCGGTGAACATTTGGAAAATGTAGACAATGTCATGGATAGATACAAAAACACATAAGGCCATCCTTCAAGAAACAGATAAGTTATAAGTTAAGAACCAGCATCAAATCACTCGGGACATTTCCACAAACGCTTTGTCCCCATCTTTAGCAGCAAGCACAGAGTTCCAATTCTGATGGTACCAGTGACAGTCTGATTGTATGTCCCTCTCGCCTATCCCCTGTGTGTTGAGCATTGGCCAGATCCCTTGTGTGTTGAGCATCGGCCAGATCCCTTGTGTGTTGAGCATCAGCCACATCCCTTGTGTGTTGAGCATCGGCCAGATCCCTTGTGTGTTGAGCATCAGCCACATCCCTTGTGTGTTGAGCATCGGCCAGATCCCTTGTGTGTTGAGCATCAGCCACATCCCTTGTGTGTTGAGCATCGGCCAGATCCCTTGTGTGTTGAGCATCAGCCACATCCCTTGTGTGTTGAGCATTGGCCAGATCCCTTGTGTGTTGAGCATCGGCCAGATCCCTTGTGTGTTGAGCATCAGCCACATCCCTTGTGTGTTGAGCATCGGCCAGATCCCTTGTGTGTTGAGCATCGGCCAGATCCCTTGTGTGTTGAGCATCGGCCAGATCCCCTGTGTGTTGAGCATCAGCCAGATCCCTTGAGTGTTGAACATCAGCCAGATCCCTTGTGTGTTGAGCATCGGCCAGCATCCCCTGGTCACTACTTAAAATCAAACAGATGAAAAACTAAACAGATTAGAGGCAGGCCAAGAGAAATGAGGAAAATAGTTTTGACTGCAGTTGAGCTGATATCAAGAATGAATCTTCTTGTTGCTTTATTTGTTGATGTTGATCAGTCATTTAGTTTGTCCTTTCCAAGCTACTACATCAAATTTTACTATTCTGGTGTCTGAGCACATGTTTTTTTTAAAAACTTTTCCTTCTTGACCTTAACCTCCTCAGTGTTAGTCTGGCTGCTTAGTTCGTATACTTCCGAAATATCTCATGCCACTCTCCACATTGATGCTACAGTTTGCATATGTTCACAGCCCAAGAGGCATCATCACCATTATCATCACCATCATCACCACCACCATCACCATCATCATCACCATCATCATCATCATCATTGTTCTGTTGTGCCATTAGATGTCACATGGGGCTCACAGTCTATTCTTCTGTTCCATTCTATTCCATGCAGTCAGTTTAGTATCATGGATGGAATCTGGTCCAGCACCTTTGACCTCTCTCATCAGCGTTCGATTTAGGGTTTCTTTTGGGCTACTCGCTTCCTTAATCTATTTATTTCCCATTTTAGTTCCTGTTTGGTGATTCTCTGCTCATTTTTTCTCAGGATGTGTCCAGTATAGCTCCATCTTTCACCTTGTGGGTTCCAGGGCCCCATTTTGGGGAAAACAAGAAAAGACCCACTGCCTCCCCAACAAGCATGTCGTAAGATTCGACTAATTGGGGTATTTCTTCAAAGTCGGAGTGCATCTGCCTGAGAGACAAGGAACCAACAGTCTGCACACAGATAAGGCCATGAGTTTTGAAGATGCTAGAGATGTCAGTGGAGCGATAGAGCTGTGTGCTTTGTTTGATGCTGTCAGCAGTGGCCAGACTGACACTCTCTAGAGAAAAGCTAGGCCAGGATTTGAACTCATGACCTTTGAATTTGTGCGAATAGGACAAAACCCTGTACAGTTATTTAGATAATCTTGCCTTTAAACACCTTCAAAATCTCTGTTACTGTGTTACCATTATTCCTTGTATTTGACAGACATGTAGAATCTTGAGTTTCTGCTCTTGCCAGGTTGGACAACTTGATGCTCCATCCAGAACAGTTGAAAGTGGTTGCGGTCCTTGACTGGGAGCTCTCCACTTTGGGAGATCCTGTGACTGACCTGGCAACTTGTGTCCTGGCCTATTACCTGCCACTGAATTGCCCCTTGATGGTTGGTAGGTAACAGCTCATCTTGTCTGTCATTTGAGATATAAAGTTCTCTGTGTCATATATAGACTGCAGTTTGTGCAGTTCTGTTGTTTTGTGCCATTTAAGGTCTTGTCATTGTGTATCATTTATTGTTCCATGGGTTTTTATTTTTATTTTTATAGTTCTAAAATTTGAATCATTGATAGATTTATAGTCTTATCTTATTTAAAGTACTTTAATTGTGTTTTATAAATTTCATTAAACATTTTGACTTGTTTAATTAATTGTTTTATAGTTTTTGTTTCATTAATGGATAATTCGTTTTCTCTCATTTAATAGTTCTTTAGTTTTTTTTTTTTTTTTTTTTGTCAGTGAATATAATTAGGACACAAACAATACATTGAACCATTTATTGCCTTTATTTTGTTGTATTTTGTCAAATGCTTTACTACAGAATTAAGTCAACAAATAATAAAACATAAAAATGAATCTTTTTCACCGAAATGCATAAATCACATTGTCAAGTTACTATTATTTCTGTACTGGAAATTCAAGATCACTCACCTGATTACCATTGTAACTTCAAACCTATCACCTAATCTTTTTGTTTACATAAAACAGGAGAGTTCAGTTTTGACATGGCCTTAGCTAGTTTTAGTAAATGTCTATTCAGTGTTTGGTAAATAATCCTGAAGGCACAATCCTTATTTAACTACGTGCCCAGAGTCAAGCAAATGATGTCCTGTTGAAGAATTGGGTTCTTTCTTTCTGATTGATCTTGAAATAGGATGTCCACTTAGTTGTGTTGGGGGGTCATTTAGGGATATGTTTTGCCACTCTGTTTTCAAGCCGTCTCTCCATTCAACAGATGTAAGTCAGCTGGCACTTACATGTAAATAGATAAATGCAGTTGGATTTGATGTGGAGATACTGGTTCTTAAACAGATGGGGCAGGGATGGGAGTGGTCTTGTATCTCACTACCCAGACAACGCAAAATATGCGCTGTTTTTAGTCGGTCCTGCAAACCTTGCATGATGTCAGCCCAATCTAAATGTTAGTTTTTACTCCAGATAGTGCAGTTTCTGCTTCTTCTTCTTCATCTTCAGCATTCCCAGCCCTTGAGGTTCATTTGCTGCAGATATCACGCGCCTCCATTCATCTCTCTGGTTGGCCTTCTTTTTTGAGTTGGTGACACCAAGTGTTTGCAGGTCTGTCTGGATATTATCTCTTCATCGTCTTCTTGGTCTGCCTCATGGACTATGACCATTCATCTCCCTCATGTATACAGTTTTTACTTCTCTGTCATCTGACATTCTTTCAATATGCCCCAACCATTTCAGTCTATTAACTCTCATGATGCCAGTGATCAGTGGTGATTTATATAGATTATTAATTTCATTGTTGCTTCTCACTCTCCATTCACTGCTGTTTTGCATCTTTGATGGGTCCAAACATTAATTGTAAGACTCTGTTTTCGAAAACCTGTAGTAAGGTTTCATCTCTTTTAGTTGTGCTCTAAGACAGTGCAGTTTGGTAACTGTAATTCAATGTGGGGGGGGGGGGGGGGGGGGGGTTAAAATAGAGAGTATGCTGTGCCATTTGATAAAACCTGTAGAATACCCATTTAGCTGTCAGCTTATCTTGATGGTTTAGATTTCTGCTGGCAGTGTATCTTCGAGAATGAGAATAAATCAGGCAAATAGTAATATGGTTTGTCTTAATGGCACCCCACTCCAAGATGTGGAGTCGTACACCTATTTGGGCAGTAATGTAGATAAAGATAGGGCAACTGATAAAGATATTAAAATAAGAATACAAAAAGCAAGAGGAGCTTTCATTGCATTAAGAAATTTGTGGAAATCAACAGAAATTATAAGAAATACTAAACTTAAAATTGTTAATTCTGATGTCAAATCAATACTTTTGTATGGAGCGGAAACATGGAGAACAGCTAAGGCAATTACTAATAAACTACAGACATTCATAAACTGGTACCTGTGCAAAATAGATGGAATTAAATGGTATGATAGAATCACTAATTTAGAGCTTTGGGAGAGAACTAAACAGGCTCCAGTGGACTAAGAGGTGAAGAAAAGTTGCTTGCGTTGGATAGGACACACATTGAGAAAACCAGAGAACAATATAACTAGATGATCTTTGCATTGGAACCCACAGGGGCATAGGAATAAAGGAAGGCCCAAAAAAATGAAGAAGAGAGCTGGAGAATTAAGTTAGAAAGATGGAGAGGACATGGGGAGAGCTGCATGCGATAGCAAAGGATATAATGACTTGGAGTGAGATGGGCCTATGCTCCATTGGGCGCTAGAAAGTCAGAAGAAGAAGAAGTCTATCTTCGGTACTTCTTCTTTTTAAAGTCTGTGCTGTGTGGCGTTGGTAGTCATGTCTGTCCACAACCTTCTGTCTAGTGTATTTTTAATCAACTCTGACACAGATGATCATCTATGCCATGATGTCATACTGTCCAGAATCTTTTCTCTGTCTCCCTCTGCCTCTCCTCGCCTCCAACTTTCCTACTGTCATGATGTACTCCAGTTTTCTCCTTCTCATCACATGACCAGAGAATGTAGATTGTCTCTTTCTGATGTGGGCAATCAGTTTTTTTGTGAGTCCATTTCTTCATTACTCTTTTTTTCTGTCTAGGGTGTTCTCATCATTCGTCTATAAAACCACATCTCGGCTGCTTCCAAATAAGTTTTCACTGATTGACTAAATGTCCATGATTGACTTCTGTACATCAGTATAGGATTGATTTTTATAGTTGGGGGGGGGGGGGGGGTGTAACAGTCTTCTGTGTGCTTTTTTTTTCATGTGCTATTTAAGTTGGTTTAAGGCTGTTCTTGATGCCCTTGTTCCATATTTTGTGTGATCTACCACTGGATCTGTACTCATTAGGAAGGCTCAGTATGATTTTTGGTACCTGGGCATTCTCATCAGATGGCCAAATCATCTCATCTGTTGCTCTTCGATGAATTGCATGATTAAAACGTTTAAAAAACATTTTACTAGAAATATCAAACCCAGACACACTGCATTGATAGGCACGTACATATCTTCTAGACCGCAATAGATCTACCGTGACTTGAAGAGCGCAGTTAAAATAATAATAAGATAACTATTTAGCCTGTAGTAGAGGGATGTGTTATGTTTTGTCAACTCTGCAACCTTTACTCCTGTCATGAACTTTGGTCCATTAAATAAAAGACCAGTCTGAAACATTTGTCTCGAACTTTGGTCCATAAATAGAGGACCAGCCTGACACATCTGGCTGTGTATGTACTCTGCTAGGTATGATATGTTGATAGTTTTTAAGTATTTTCAGTGGGCAATGGAAACTGTTTTGTTTATAGTTCATTTGTATTATATGAACAATGAACAGTGTTATGTTGATAGTTTTGAAACATTTTATGTCAGCAGTTGAAAGTCTTATTTAAAAGTTTAAAATAATTCAAATATATAATGTTGTTTAGCTGAAAGTTTTTCACTCCTTCAACTTTTAAATCTGATAGCTTCAAATATATAATGTTGTTTACCTGAAGGTTTTTTTACACCTCCAAATTTTAAGTCTGACAGCTTCAAACAAGTATTGATGTTTACCTGAAGGTTTTTTCACTCCTTCAACTTTTAAGTCTGACAGCTTCAAACAAGTATTGTTGTTTACCTGAAGGTTTTTTTACACCTCCAAATTTTAAGTCTGACAGCTTCAAACAAGTATTGATGTTTACCTGAAGGTTTTTTTACACCTCCAAATTTTAAGTCTGACAGCTTCAAACAAGTATTGATGTTTACCTGAAGGTTTTTTTACACCTCCAAATTTTAAGTCTGACAGCTTCAAACAAGTATTGATGTTTACCTGAAGGTTTTTTTTTACACCTCCAAATTTTAAGTCTGACAGCTTCAAACAAGTATTGATGTTTACCTGAAGGTTTTTTTACACCTCAAAATTTTAAGTCTGACAGCTTCAAACAAGTATTGATGTTTACCTGAAGGTTTTTTCACTCCTTCAACTTTTAAGTTGTATCCTGGAATCCACTCAAAAGCCCCCAGTGTAGTTCCCAGACATATCTTGTTCAACCTCATAGGAAATGAGAATTAGAACACCCCTAACGTCAACACCACGTACTGCCTTGGTGCATTCTGACGATTTATTTATTCTTTTTCTTCTGCCTTCTACCCCCCAATGGTGTATAAGCCCTCAACCAACTCACGCCAAGTCGTTGTATTCTTCTTTATTACATGCAGCTCTCCCTGTGTCCTCTCCATCTTTTTAACTTCACACTCTGGCTCTCTTCTACATGTGTTTCTTGGTCTTCCTCTATTTCTGTGCCCCTGTGGGTTTTTATTTTATTATATAGCAAGGTTATCACAGCTTATAATATCAACTTTTATATTTGTTTATGTGAGTACAGTAAAACTTAGATTAGCCGTCACCGTCTGGACTAGTTCTGTGAGGCGTAACTGAATACACAGATAACAACAATCTCTTCATATGTATAAATAGGAACGTGATTTCACCTTGGGCCTGAGACGCAAATTTAAAAAAAAAGGCCTTTAAACATGAATAATACATACATCTTGTATTTAATTTTACAAAATGATCAATATAAACTTATATAAGAGTAGTAATGTAGATAAATTATTTTAGTACTATAAACCTACATTACTTTAAAATAATCTGTCATCTTCTTCTATGTCTCAAGCTTTTTGAATGGCGATGCTCCATGTCTTACACAAAGGTTGGATCTATGCTGCTTTTTCCCCCTCTTGCATTTCAAAACCAGTCAGTGCACTTTGATAACATTGTTACTGCTTCTGAATGGCTGGTAGTAGGTTTTTGCTTATGAACTGATCCTTCATCCTCATCATTTTGATTGTTTTCATGATGATGGATAACAGAAACTGACGGTTAAACAAGTGATGGTTCATTGAAGTTTTACTTACATTTAAAAAAATGCAGTAACAAAGTATAAAACCCTTCTCACATCTTACTGGGGTATATGATGCCAGGCCCATGATTTTGAAGACAAGTCCATGGGTGATTCAGCCAACATCCCATTGACCGCTTTGCTTTCAACAATTTTTAATTCTTAAATTAATTTGAGACCAAGTTAACCTTGTCGCCCAAATAATTTTTTTTTTGTAAATATATTATGTTTATGTGCTTTGGTTTGTTACTCTGATGTTTTCACTGATCCAGGATTGGCAGAACAAGATGTCAGTAGCTTAGGTATTCCCACTGTGGACGAGATCAAAGCCGAATATTGCCGACTCAGCAACCTTAGCCACATCGACAACTGGGACTTTTACTTGTCCTTTGTGATGTTCAGGACTGCTGCCATTCTACAGGGTGTTTACAAGAGAAATATCTCAGGTACTAGTGGGTTTAACCCAGTTGTGTTTGATTTGTGGCTCTCTGTTTTTTGTTCCATTCTGTGTGTTAAGGAAATTGTGCACTGTGATTTGTGGCCAGCTCTCTGTTTATTGTTCCATCCTGTGTGTTAAGGAAATTGTGCACTGGTGCACTTTGTTTGGTGGTTTGTGACTAGCTCTGTTTTTTGTTCCATCCTGTGTGTTTAGTCAATTGTGCACTGGTGCACTGTGTTTGATTTGTGGCCAGCTCTCTGTTTATTGTTCCACCCTGTGTGTTTAGTCAATTGTGCACTGATGCACTGTTTGATTTGTGGCCAGCTTTCTGTTTATTGTTTCATCCTGTGTGTTAAGTCGATTGTGCACTGATGCACTGTTTGATTTGTGGCCAGCTCTCTGTTTATTGTTTCATCCTATTTGTTTAATAAAAGCATAAATAGTAGCATGTTTGTGAGCTTTACCAAGTAACTGTCTGTGTGAAAACAGTATGGCCTCTGAGCGGACTTCTTCTTGCATGCCAACAAGATTTATGATTTTAGAAGCCTCAAATAAAAAAAAAATTTTTTTAGCAGATTTATCCGAAGCTAGACAAAGAAAGTTACAAAGTAGACTTGTTTCAGTCACTGATAGAGTCAAACTTTGATGAGGGATAGCTCTGATATATACTTCACGCAAAGCCTACAACAGTAACAAGGTCATTTGGTACAAAGAGAATAAATATTAGTGAGAAAAAAAGCAATATTTTACAGTGTCAGTTAGGTCTAGCGTAAGTCCCTTATTATTATTTGAGAACACAGGCTGTAAAATTATGGGCAAACTGAAAGTTATATAAAGTTCTTTGTTTGTGTGTTTGGTGAAAATACTGATTGTTTTCACCCAAAAATAGTGCTCTGTTATGATGCCCTCAAAGTTTTTCTGGAACCAGATCTAATGGACAGATTGTGTTTATATATATTTTTTTTTAATTACTAAATTATTCATGTTTATTTGTGATTCATTTTGAATATATTCTATCGTTTTCCTTGAGTGCCATGATGGTAAGTGGGAAAATAAATCGTTTTTAAAAACTAATTTCTCTAAACATACCATATTTACCGTAATTAACTGCTAACACAGTTTACATTTGTAGCAGTCTTTTAATATTATTGCTCAACAATCCCTGGTCACTTTGATGTATAATACATTTCTGTTTCTCAACAATCCCTGGTCACTGTGATGTATAATACATTTCTGTAGCTCAACAATTCCTGGTCACTGTGATGTATAATACATTTCTGTTTCTCAACAATCCCTGGTCACTGTGATGTATAATACATTTTTGTTGCTCAACAATTCCTGGTCACTGTGATGTATAATACATTTCTGTTGCTCAACAATCCCTGGTCACTGTGATGTATAGTACATTTCTGTAGCTCAACAATCCCTGGTCACTTTGATGTATAATACATTTCTGTAGCTCAACAATCCCTGGTCACTTTGATGTATAATACATTTCTGTAGCTCAACAATCCCTGGTCACTGTGATGTATAGTACATTTCTGTTTCTCAACAATCCCTGGTCACTTTGATGTATAGTACATTTCTATTGCTCAACAATCCCTGGTCACTTTGATGTATAATACATTTCTGTTGCTCAACAATCCCTGGTCACTGATGTACACTGTGCTCAACAATGTATAGTACATTTCTTGTTGCTCAACAATCCCTGGTCACTTTGATGTATAATACATTTCTGTTGCTCAACAATCCCTGGTCACTGTGATGTATAATATTGCTACATTTCTGTATTGCTGTTGCTCAACAATCCCTGGTCACTGTGATGTATATAGTACATTTCTGTTGCTCAACAATCCCTGGTCACTGTGATGTATAATACATTTCTGTTGCTCAACAATCCCTGGTCACTGTGATGTATAATACATTTCTGTTGCTCAACAATCCCTGGTCACTGTGATGTATAATACATTTCTGTTGCTCAACAATCCCTGGTCACTTTGATGTATAATACATTTCTGTTTCTCAACAATCCCTGGTCACTGTGATGTATAATACATTTCTGTTGCTCAAACAATCCTGGTCACTGTGATGTGATATAAGTACATTTCTGTTGCTCAACAATCCCTGGTCACTGTGATGTATAGTACATTTCTGTTGCTCAACAATCCCTGGTCACTGTGATGTATAATACATTTCTGTTGCTCAACAATCCCTGGTCACTGTGATGTATAATACATTTCTGTTGCTCAACAATCCCTGGTCACTGTGATGTATAATACATTTCTGTTGCTCAACAATCCCTGGTCACTTTGATGATGCTCAAACAATCCCTGGTCACTGTGATGTATAATACATTTCTGTTGCTCAACAATCCCTGGTCACTTTGATGTATAATACATTTCTGTTTCTCAACAATCCCTGGTCACTGTGATGTATAATACATTTCTATTGCTCAACAATCCCTGGTCACTGTGATGTATAGTACATTTCTGTTGCTCAACAATCCCTGGTCACTGTGATGTATAGTACATTTCTGTTGCTCAACAATCCCTGGTCACTTTGATGTATAATACATTTCTGTTGCTCAACAATCCCTGGTCACTTTGATGTATAATCAACAATCCCTTCTGTTGCTCTGTTGCTCAACAATATAAACAATCCCTGGTCACACTGATGATGTATCAACAATCCCTGGTACATGTTTCTGTGTTGCTCAACAATCCCTGGTCACTGTGATGTATAATACATTTCTGTTGCTCAACAATCCCTGGTCACTGTGATGTATATACATTTCTGTTACTACATCCCTGGTCACTTTGATTACATTTCTGTGCTCAACAATCCCTGGTCACTTGATGATATAATACATTTATAGTACATCCCTGGTCACTTTGATGTTGTACATTTCAACAATCCCTGGTCACTTTGATGTATAGTACATTTCTGTTGCTCAACAATCCCTGGTCACTTTGATGTATAGTACATTTCTGTTGCTCAACAATCCCTGGTCACTTTGATGTATAATACATTTCTGTTGCTCAACAATCCCTGGTCACTGTGATGTATAATACATTTCTGTTGCTCAACAATCCCTGGTCACTTTGATGTATAGTACATTTCTGTTGCTCAACAATCCCTGGTCACTTTGATGTATAATACATTTCTGTTGCTCAACAATCCCTGGTCACTTTGATGTATAGTACATTTCTGTTGCTCAACAATCCCTGGTCACTTTGATGTATAATACATTTCTGTTGCTCAACAATCCCTGGTCACTTGTATAATACATTTCTGTTGCTCAACAATGTATGTATAATACATTTCTGTTGCTCAACAATCCCTGGTCACTTTGATGTATAATACATTTCTGTTGCTCAACAATCCCTGGTCACTTTGATGTATAATACATTTCTGTTGCTCAACAATCCCTGGTCACTTTGATGTATAATACATTTCTGTTGCTCAACAATCCCTGGTCACTTTGATGTATAATACATTTCTGTTGCTCAACAATCCCTGGTCACTGTGATGTATAGTACATTTCTGTTGCTCAACAATCCCTGGTCACTTTGATGTATAATACATTTCTGTTGCTCAACAATCCCTGGTCACTTTGATGTATAATACATTTCTGTTGCTCAACAATCCCTGGTCACTTTGATGTATAGTACATTTCTGTTGCTCAACAATCCCTGGTCACTTTGATGTATAATACATTTCTGTTGCTCAACAATCCCTGGTCACTGTGATGTATAGTACATTTCTGTTGCTCAACAATCCCTGGTCCTGGTCACTGTTGATGTATATGTATATACATTTCTGTTGCTCAACAATCCCTGGTCACTTTGATGTATAATACATTTCTGTTGCTCAACAATCCCTGGTCACTGTGATGTATAGTACATTTCTGTAGCTCAACAATCCCTGGTCACTTTGATGTATAATACATTTCTGTTGTTCAACATTCCCTGGTCCTGGTACACTCAACAATCCCTGGTCACTTGATGTATAATACATTTCTGTTGCTCAACAATCCCTGGTCCTTGGTCACATTTCTGTTGATGTATGGTACATTTCTGTTGCTCAACAATCCCTTTGATGGTACATTTCTGATGCTAACAATCCCTGGTCACTTTGATGTATTACATTTCTGTTGCTCAACAATCCCTGGTCACTTTGATGTATAATACATTTCTGTTGCTCAACAATCCCTGGTCACTTTGATGTATAATACATTTCTGTTGCTCAACAATCCCTGGTCACTTTGATGTATAATACATTTCTGTTGCTCAACAATCCCTGGTCACTTTGATGTATAATACATTTCTGTTGCTCAACAATCCCTGGTCACTGTGATGTATAGTACATTTCTGTTGCTCAACAATCCCTGGTCACTTTGATGTATAATACATTTCTGTTGCTCAACAATCCCTGGTCACTTTGATGTATAGTACATTTCTGTTGCTCAACAATCCCTGGTCACTTTGATGTATAATACATTTCTGTTGCTCACAATCCCTGGTCTTTGATGGTACACTGCTCAACAATCCCTGGTCACTGTGATGTATAGTACATTTCTGTTGCTCAACAATCCCTGGTCACTTTGATGTATAGTACATTTCTGTTGCTCAACAATCCCTGGTCACTTTGATGTATAATACATTTCTGTTGCTCAACAATCCCTGGTCACTTTGATGTATAATACATTTCTGGCTCAACAATCCCTGGTCACTTTGATGTATAGTACATTTCTGTTGCTCAACAATCCCTGGTCACTGTGATGTATAATACATTTCTGTTGCTCAACAATCCCTGGTCACTTTGATGTATAGTACATTTCTGTTGCTCAACAATCCCTGGTCACTTTGATGTATAGTACATTTCTGTTGCTCAACAATCCCTGGTCACTTTGATGTATGTATAATCCCTACACTTTGATGTATAATACATTTCTGTTGCTCAACAATCCCTGGTCACTTTGATGTATAATACATTTCTGTTGCTCAACAATCCCTGGTCACTGTGATGTATAATACATTTCTGTTGCTCAACAATCCCTGGTCACTTGATGTATGTATAGCTCAACAACATTTATGTTCTGTTGCTCAACAATCCCTGGTCACTTTGATGTATAATACATTTCTGTTGCTCAACAATCCCTGGTCACTTTGATGTATAATACATTTCTGTTGCTCAACAATCCCTGGTCACTTTGATGTATAGTACATTTCTGTTGCTCAACAATCCCTGGTCACTTGATGTATAGTACATTTCTGTTGCTCAACAATCCCTGGTCACTTTGAATGTATAGTACATTGGTCACTTTGATGTATAATAATTTCTGTTGCTCCAATCCCTGGTCACTTTGATGTATAATACATTTCTGTTGCTCAACAATCCCTGGTCACTTTGATGTATAATACATTTCTGTTGCTCAACAATCCCTGGTCACTTTGATGTATAGTACATTTCTGTTGCTCAACAACAATTACATTTCTGTTGCTCAACAATCCCTGGTCACTTTGATGTATAAGTACATTTCTGTTGCTCAACAATCCCTGGTCACTTTGATGTATAATACATTTCTGTTGCTCAACAACAATCCCTGGTCACTGGTTGATGTATAGTACATTTCTGTTGCTCAACAATCCTGGTCACTGTGATTGTGATGTAGTACATTTCTATTGCTCAACAATCCCTGGTCACTTTGATGTATAATACATTTCTGTTACTCAACAATCCCTGGTCACTGTGATGTATAATTCATGTCGGCAGTTGAATTAGTATGGTTTGTTTTAATGAGCGACTCTTGTAACATTTCAGACTTACATTATCACCCCTTGGGGCTCTGATGCTAAATTCCCTGAGACTCAGAGAGTTCAATCACATAAGTTTTTCTTAAATACATTATACCCGACTTTTTTTTAAAGAGGGAAACATGTTTGACATGGATACTTTAAATCATTAATATTTATTATTATTTTTTTAACTTTTGTTTTTAAACAAACTTAATATAATGTCTATGCATTTCAGGTCAGGGCAGCTCATCAATTGGCAAAAGTGTTGGAGGATTTGCAGAAGCTATGGCTGACATTGGGTGGAAAATAGCATCAGAGAGCAGCATGAAGCCCACAGCAGGCATCGCTGCCTCAGCTACTAGCTGCAGCGACGGCAGAGACAAGAGACAGTACTCTACCCTCACCACAAGACACCAGCAGACGGTCATGTCCACTGTTGCAAGACCAATGTCGTCTGGAGCTAACCCTAAAGGCCAAGTTGGTATGTCAGGAATTTCATTCATTTGAGATGATTTATGTGAAAAATCTGGTGCAGTTCATTGTTGAGCTTAGAGCAAGAATATATATGGCAAAATAAGTCTTTTGGGTGAGAACAAGAAAGTGCAATATAGAACATGTATAGTTGTATGGAGATAGTTGTATAAAGATACAAGCATTGGAAATGCAATGTTTAAGAAAAATTTTTGGCATATCATACAGAGACCACATTACAAATGAAGAGGTTTGCCAAAAAAATATACAGCACATCAGCAACTATGAACCTCTTTTAACTACAGTGAAAAGACCAAAAATGCAATGGTAGGGACATTAATAAGATCCAACGGCCTCTAGAAAACAATACTGCAAGGCTCAGTAAAGGGAAAAAGGAGAAAAGGCAGACCAAGAAAGACCCGGTTAGAGAACCTGACTGTCTGGACAGACCTTAGGCATGCAACCATGAAGTCCATCGCAACTGACCACCAAAGGTGGAGAGAGCCGATCAGACAGTCAACAGAAACTGGTGACCCAAAGACACGTAGTATTACGGGATGATGATAGTTATATAACACTGGTACTGGACAAAGAAGTCATTCTGAAGACCATTTTTGAAATAATGCTGAAGTTCGATGAAATAAAAAGTGTAAGTATGTGTGAATGAGGAATTAGATGTGAATCCGGCTAGGAGGAATACATGAGAGAAACAGGAATTTTTTTTTTATAATCAGTATGCTATGGGAACAGTTAGCATCTGCATATTCAGACATTTGCTGCGAGGGACGTAGCATCTGTGGGTATGCCATTGCTACAGGGGATGTAGCATCTGTTGGTATGCACCATGCTGTACTGTCTATGAGTGTGTTTCAGCATGTCTGGTGGCAGTCACTGTAAAAGGGCTGTCTCCCAGTGTCTATGTTTCAGTGTACTGTCTGTGAGTGTGTTCCAACACATCTGATGGCAGTCACTGTAGAAGGACTATCTCCGGGTGTCGTTTCAGTACTGTCTGTGAGTGTGTTCCAACAGGTCTGATGGCAGTCACTGTAGAAGGACTATCTCCGGGTGTCGTTTCAGTACTGTCTGTGAGTGTGTTCCAACAGGTCTGATGGCAGTCACTGTAGAAGGACTGTCTCCGGGTGTCGTTTCAGTACTGTCTGTGAGTGTGTTCCAACAGGTCTGATGGCAGTCACTGTAGAAGGACTGTCTCCGGGTGTCGTTTCAGTACTGTCTGTGAGTGTGTTCCAACAGGTCTGATGGCAGTCACTGTAGAAGGACTATCTCCGGGTGTCTATGTTTCAGTGTACTGTCTGTGTGTGTGTTCCAACAGGTCTGATGGCAGACACTGTAGTAGGACTATCTCCGGGTGTCGTTTCAGTACTGTCTGTGTGTGTGTTCCAACAGGTCTGATGGCAGTCACTGTAGAAGGACTATCTCCGGGTGTCCATGTTTCAGTGTACTGTCTGTGAGTGTGTTCCAACAGGTCTGATGGCAGACACTGTAGTAGGACTATCTCCGGGTGTCGTTTCAGTACTGTCTGTGTGTGTGTTCCAACAGGTCTGATGGCAGTCACTGTAGAAGGACTATCTCCGGGTGTCCATGTTTCAGTGTACTGTCTGTGAGTGTGTTCCAACACATCTGATGGCAGTCACTGTAGTAGGACTGTCTCCGGGTGTCCATGTTTCAGTGTACTGTCTGTAAGTGTGTTTCATCAGGTCTGATGGCAGTAGCTGTAGAAGGGCTGTCTCGGGGTGTCTATGTTTCAGTGTAATGTTTGTGAGTGTGTTCCAACAGGTCTGATGGCAGTAGCTGTAGAAGGGCTGTCTCCGGGTGTCAATGTATCAGTGCAATGTCTGTGAGTGTGTTCCAACAGGTCCGATGGCAGTCACTATAGAAGGGCCGTCTCCGGGTGTCCATGTTTCAGTGTATACTGTCTGTCTGTCTGTGTTCCAACAGGTCTGATGGCAGTCACTGTAGAAGGGATGTCTCAGGGTGTCCATGTTTCAGTGTAATGTCTGTCTGTCTGTGTGTGTTTTAACAGGTCTGATGGCTGTCACTGTAGAAGGGATGTCTCAAGGTGGCCATGTTTCAGTGTACTGTCTGTGTGTGTTTCAACAGGTCTGATGGCTGTCACTGTAGAAGGGCTGTCTCCACGTGTGCAGGACCTCCACCAGAGGGTGAGGGCCTTCATTCAGGAGCATGTGGTGCCCTTAGGTGAACTTCACAGGCAGAGATTACAAGCAGGGCATAACAGATGGGAGATACCACCAGAGTTGGAGGAGGCCAAGGTGAGTTTAGCAAAAGAGAGAGAGATGTGAGAGTTAGCAAAGAGAGACAGTGTGGGGGAGATAACTGAAAGATTAAAGAAATTAGATGGGAAAGAGCACAGAGTTGGCAAAGAGAGACAGAGTGGGGGAGATAACTGAAAAAATTAGATAGGAAAGAGCACACACAGAGTTAGCAAAGAGAGATAGTGTGGGGGAGATAACTGAAAGAAATTAGATAGGAAAGAGCACAGAGTTAGCAAAGATAGATAGTGTGGGGGGAGATAATGAAAAAAAATTAGATAGGAAAGAGCACAGAGCAAAGAGAGACAGAGTGGGGGAGATAACTGAAAGCAATTAGATAGGAAAGAGCACAGAGTAAGCAGAGAGATAGTGTGGGGGAGATAACTGAAAAAATTAGATAGGAAAGAGCACAGAGTTAGCAAAAAGAGATAGTGTGGGGGAGATAACTGAAAGAAATTAGATGGGAAAGAGCACAGTGTTAGCAAAGAGAGATAGTGTGGGGGAGATAACTGAAAAAAATTAGATGGGAAAGAGCACAGTGTTAGCAAAGAGAGACAGTGTGGGGGAGATAACTGAAAGAAATTAGATGGGAAAGAGCGCAGAGCTAGCAAAGAGAGATAGTGTGGGGGAGATAACTGAAAGAAATTTAGATGGGAAAGAGCACAGAGCTAGCAAAGAGAGACAGTGTGGGGGAGATAACTAAAAGAAATTAGATGGGAAAGAGCACAGAGCTAGCAAAGAGAGATAGTGGAGATAATCGAAAGGAGAAACAAATAAGACAGTGAAAAAAAAAAAAAAAGACAGCTAGAAGTACTAGGAAAGATAAAGGTGTGTACTTGTTTTTCAATATTTGTGTGTGTATTTTGACAAAACTAATTCTGTGAAGTTGATTCCCAACCTGATTGTGGCATAATAATGTCATAATTGTGAACTTGTCCTTTGCCTGAAGTCGTCCCCTGTAAGATGCAATTTTTGTATTGTTTTTTTTTTAAGCCCCACTTTGGCTTTTGCCAGGGGCCTTAAATATAGCAGGGCCATAAATACGACTAAACGGGGTTTCCGGGACCTCTCCACAGGTGATCCTCATCCGCATGGTGGCACATTGTGTCTCCGGGTGTTTATTGCTCTGTATGATGTCCTGGTAGGGTAAAATTTACTTACTAACTTTTCCTGTGTAATTTTATATCTTGATTATTTTTTTTTTGGGGGGGGGGGGGGGGGGGGGGGGGTGGTCCTGAGGATGTTATTTTATGTGTCTTGAGTGTGTTATATTATGTTTAATGATTATTTGTATTACATGGCCTGATTATGTTATTGTACTGTCCTGGTTGTGTTATATTACATGTAATGATTGTGTTATGTTTCATATAGCGATTGTGCTGTATTACTTGCACTGACTGCGATTATATTTCAGGTACTGGTTGTGTTAGATTACATGCCCTGATTTTGTTATATTACGTATTCTGATTATGTTAAATTGCCTGTCCAGTTGTATTATATGACATGCCCTGATTGTGTTATATTACATATTCTTATTGTGATATTCTATGTCCATTTTTGTCATATTGCGTGTCCTGATTGTGTTACATTGCATGTCCTCATTGTATCTTATTACACGTCTTGACTGTATTGTATTATATTTAATTATTATGTTATATTTAGTACTGATTATGTCATTTTACATCCTGATTGTGTTAAATTACATGTCTTCGCTGTGTTATATTACATGTACTGATTATGTTGTATTTAGTACTGATCGTGTTATATTACATTTTATGATTATTAATGTTACCTGCATCAGGCAAATTGTGGGAACGACACCTTGTACTAGATTCATTGAGAAACAGCAGATTAAGTGGTTTGGCCATCTTGTTAGAGTGCCGCAAGATCAAATACCATCACAAGAACTACATCTCAGAAGATCAGCTACAAGAGCAAGAGGACGGATGCGGAAAACATTGATCGAGAACATTAAAGACACTCTACGCCTTCATGGCATGACAATAGCCAGTGGCAGCCAATGTGCACTGGATCGCATATTATTCCTTCCCATGACGCTCAACGGCAGAAGTGGTTTATGATGATGATGATAAATGTTACCTTTGCTGATTGCGTTATATAACAGTTACCAGCCCTGATTGTGTTAAATTACAATTACATATACTGATTGTGTCATATTGCATTTCTTGTGTCTCATATAGGCAAAAGCCAAAGCTGTAGGTCTGTGGAACCTGTTCCTGCCGATAGATTCTGATCCAGAAACCAAATACGGAGCAGGACTCACAAACCTGGAGTATGCGTTCTTGTGTGAGGAGATGGGGAAATATCGCTTTGCTCCCGAGGTAATTGTTTTTCCCCACTGTCTCCAGAAAGTACCTAGAGAGTTTGAGATTATTTTTCCCCACTGTCTCCAGAAAGTACCTAGAGAGTTTGAGAAATGCCATCCTGGTCTCAAATTTGATGAGGGGGCTGTGTGGTCTCAAGGCATGGTGTCCACCTTGAGTGCTAGAAGTGCCGGGTTCAAAGCCCGGTAAGGGCTAGGATTTCTTTTACATGGACTTGATGGGGGGATACATCAAGAGAGTCCAGGCCTACGCCAGTTGGCAGGGCACACCATGATGATGATCTTTAGCCAAGTCAGTGCCAAGCAACTAACCATACGTTTATCAAGTCTCACATGAATGTCAAGTTGGATTGAGTTGATTCAGGAACCGAAATCACA